CCCCAAACAGATTTTTCTTTTTAGCCCAGCTCAATCTGCAGACTGTTTCAAATATTACCTGGTTCTTCTCTACCACTAATGGTTTCACATTTTATTTACTCATTGGACAAACATACGAATCGCTTATGTGCTGGGCACTGTTATAAGTGCGTGACCAATGTCAACTCATACAATCCCATGCAGCTTATTATCTACATTATTAATTATTAATGTTATTAGTATTATCTGAAGTTGCTCATCAGGAAACAGGCACAGAGAGGTGAAGGAACTTGCGGAAGGTCACGTTTGCTGAGTGGCAGGGTCAGGCCACGAAACTAGATCGTCTAGCTCCAGACCTTTTCTTTGTAGAAAGCTCCTACGGAAAGTCTCAGGGAAAAATTCAGCGTGAGACCGAACAAAGCAGAGCTGCTTTGGTTCAAGTGGAGCCGGCTGCCGGGTCTGCTCAGCACCCCCCCTTCCCAGACGGGCTGGGAGCCCCGTCTGCAAAGCCCTGGTCTAGGAAATAATGCCTCTTGGAGCCATGCCACTTGTAAGCTGTCTTCAATCCACTCTAGCAGAAAACAAACAAAATTCGCTTCTCACTTTAATGAACTAATTGTGTTTTATTTTGAAAATTTTATCTGCCTAATCTACTTCTGGCAGAAATAAAATGCTGAGATGGATTTTCCCCAGGATGGTAATGCCATATGGCAATTCGGACTTTGTGGGCTTAAGCTTCCCCTGGGTTTCCTCATACAAATCAAGGACAATGGTTGCAAACGTTTTCTGAATCAAGGAGAGAAGTGGAATTTGGTTGTATATGAATAGAGATGAATGGAAACCTTGCAACCGGCTAGGCATGAACTAGCCCCTCTCTTGTGGGCTGCTTATCTTCTGTAGTCACCAATAATCTAAAATAATAGGAACAGCACTATCAACAGTTACTGTCCATTGAGTGCCTTCTATAAACAGGGATTAAAAAAACCCACCATTTTTACAACTCTAGGTGTTTTCACCCCTATTTTACAGATATATAAGTTGAGGCTAGGATTTTATAGAACTTGTTCAAGATGGCCCAACAGTGAGTGGAAATAGCAGTGATTAAGGAGCTGCATTCCTTGATACTAAGAATAAAAGAAAGTATAATTTTGGATATATTACGTAAGGTCCTTTGTGATTTTCAAATTATGAAAGACTGAGAGAAATCAGTGGAATCCATTCTTAAGAGTGATTATTTTCTATGATGAGCCTCTTATGATTTATTACTTTATGCAATGTATAACATAGTAAAAAGAAAAGAAGGTAAATTTGTCCGGCCTGTGTGGCTCAGGGGTTGAGCATCGACCCGTGCACTAAGAGGTCGCTGGTTCGATTCCTGGTCAGGGCACATGCCCAGGTTGTGGGCCCCATTCCCAGTGAAGGGCGTGCAGGAGGCGGCCAGTCCATGTTCTCTCTCATTGATGTTTCTAGCTCTCTCTCCTCCCTTCCTCTCACTCTAAAATCAATTGAAAATAATTGAAAAAAAAAAAAAAAAAGAAGGTACATTCATTAAATGGGCCTATAGATCAAGGGAGTATGAACCAGAGAACGAAAAGGAACTCAGACCCAACTGAAATTCTGATCGCCCCTGTGTTCCCACTGGTCGCACCCCTGCCACACCCTAACCTATGTTCACTGTGTGTCCGCCACCCAGAGTCAAGTCTCCTTCTGTCCACTCACCTTTACACCCCTGCCTCCCCACGCTCCTTTCCCTCTGGTAGTCACTGCCCTGTGGTGTGTCTATGAGCATGTTTGTTTGTTTGTTTGTTGCTTGGTCCCTTCAATTTTTCCACCCAGCCCCCCAAACACCCTCCCCTCTAACAGCTGTCAGTCTGTTCTCTGTATCTACGAGTCTGTTTATATTTTGTTAGCTTATTTTGTACTTTGAGCATTTAAATGTTGTTTTGGACCAAGAACTTAATCCCGAAAGAGACTTAGGAGGACCCAGTCACAGGAGTACTTCCACCCACCTTCTGTAACAGCAGGCTCGCGCTGCCAAATCAACTTCAGCCCCAACGAATAGAAGCCATCGTGGCTAAGAAGATTTAGAATAAAATGGAAAATTCTTGGCATACTCTGTCAATTTCATCGAAGATTAAAGGATAAATGCACAACTGCGTTATCCCCAGAAGCTATCCAGTTGTAAAGCGATGCCAGTCAATATGAAAATTCTGCGTTTTAACTGCACAGGCTGTTGCTAAATTGTAAATATGTGTTTGTTGTTTTTTCTCACTAGGGAAGCCAGCCTTAATGTGATGGAAATACCCTTGATCTTGGCGTCTAAAAGATAAAGATTTGAGTTTCAGCTCTTAGTTTTACTGTGATCTTGGGTAAGTTAACATCACCTACGGGAGTCCTGGCTTTCTTATCGGTGAAATAAGATGAATAATCCTATCTCACAGCACTTTGTATTTTTATTTTTTAGTTCTTTACTATTTATTATGGAAATTTCCCACAGAAACAAAACAGGTAGAGGAGTATAATGAACCCCATCTGCTTGGCTTTAACGATACTTTGCATTTTGCCCAAACGTCTTTCACCTTTACCCCGCCCCCTTTTCCCTCTCTATTCGAGTATTTGAAAGCAATTCCAAATATAATATTATTTCACTGCAAATACATCAGAATGTACAACTAACACCATTTTTATTTAAAGAATGTCATAAACTCATGATCACACCTAGCAAAATTACAGTGATTCTTCAAACATCATTTATTTTCCAGCCAGGGTTAAAATTTCCCTATTTGTCTCAAAAATGTCTTTATATAGCTGGTTCATTTGAATCAGGAGCCCAAGAAGATTCATATATTACATTTGGCCGTGTGTCTCAAGACTTTTAATTTACAGCAGCAATTTCTCTTCGCCTCGTCCTTCTTCATAGAATTAATTTGTGGAAGGAACTAGTTGTTTGTCCCGTGCTGTTTCTCATATAATCTGGGTTTGGCTGATTGCAACCTTTACCCTTGTACAGTCATTAAACATGTTCCTCTTGTTCGGATATTGGCTGCTGTTAGATATAGAAGCTTGATTAGATTCAGGCTCACTTAAAATATATACGTATCGCACAGGTCATGCTTTGTCTTTGTGTTAGGATTGACTAGTGGGATCCCCAGGTTAATGCATTCTTCATCAACCTCTCACCTAATGTTTTTAGTACCAGCTGATAACTGGCTTAGATCCGTTCGTGCACAGGGGTTGCATAATGTAGGTTTTCTAGTTCTAGCAATCCCTTATGTATGTGGGCAGGGATTCTTTAAATATCAAATTCCCCCATCAATCATTTGGTTACCATAAAATACAGTTCATACAGTAAAGGTAAGATACATGCTTGTTGGTGCCCTCTTGCCCTTTTTTAGGCTAATTTTTAATTTAGTGGTGGCTTATCTCCATTGCGTTGGCTGATGAGGATAAATGGTGGTGGTGGTGGTGGTTTTCTCCTGTCATTGTAATTGAAGGAATTAAAAGTTGTTTTGCTATATTTCAGTTCCTCATAGTCATTCCTCTTTAGGCTGGTTTTGTGTTTTGTTTTATTTTTTTCTTTCTGGCACGACAAGAAATCTCAGGCTCACGTTCCATATTTCTCGCCCCAGACCTGAATCACTCAAGAAGCCCTGGTTTCTTTTCAGTAGAATATGGTATACTGAGCCCACAGTCTGAACACCGGGAGTGTTGCTGTTTTCAGTGGTTAGATCTAAAATATGCACTTTTAAAGGGAAAAAAATCATTATTTTATATTCATAATTTTAATTCTGATTATAAGGTTTATAGGTAAGATTTTTGGTTCTTATTTATTTTTTCCTCTTATGCTTAAAATCTTGGTTCTTAATGACATCAAGATAGTGACTTCTTGGCTTTATTATGCAGCCGTGTGGGTGAGTGCCGGCACGTGTGCACACACGTGTGCTAATAGTTTTGAAGTAGCAATACCAATGTTTTCTCTATGATACTATAAGTAAGTATAGCTTAAGGTTTTTTTGCTATTCTTTTTATTCTTTAGACATAGCACACCTGGGATAGTCCCTGGTGTGTGTTTTAAAGTCACGTCAAATAAAACGTGTATATGCACCAACTTGATATACAGGCATTTGTTTCTTATTTTGAAAGATTTTCATTTTCATTGAATTTAATTTTATAATTAGGTAAAATAACTGCATTGTTCAATGTCAAAACTATAAATCACAGGTTGTCCCTTCCACCCGTCCCTCCCTTCTTATAGAAATGATGACATTACATATCCTTTTCTGCATCATGCTTTTTCATGGGCCAGTACACCCCAGAGAGAAGCGTCCATAGCAGTAGGCAGTTCATTCAATCAGTTCCCTTTCTGAGGTTTTCCCTATCTTTTAGTACAAATAATTTTCAGTGAATGACCTTTATAGGCTATTGAGAGTTAAATAAAATGCAGTATATTAAAGGTCTGTGTTAACTATAAAGCATATACATGTATATATATGTATATAGGTTTATAGTTGGTTCGTATGAAAAATAATACAATCATTAATAAATAATAATACAAGAATAAACTCTGTTTCGCATACTCACATATGTAAACCTATATTCGCCCCACCCTGAATATAAGTGATATATGTATATATACATATTATTTTGTTATACTTACATTGTTTTAGTTCCACAGACATTTACTAAGCACTTACAATGTGCTAGAATATAAAGATAAAGAAGACACAGTCTCTAGTCAAGGTTTTATAATCTAATATAATGTGGAATAAAATGAAAAATTTTACATATTTTCTTCTCCGATGACCTTTAAGTTTCTAATCGATGAATGTTTCAGCTTATGTTGTTTTTATGTTAAATAAATTCCTGGATTTATGGGTATATACAGATTTCAGTAATTTACAATATTTTCTACTATACAGTATTTGATTACAGTGCTAATACGGGTTACCGACCATGTGATCATATCATCACGGAAGTTCATTTGTCTAACTGGGTATGTTTTCCTGAAGCCAGCATTCACGATGGCAACAGTAACAGTGGCCACAGAGCTTCCCTCAGGGGAGGGGACAGAAGAAAATTCAGCCTCGTATGAGTCCACATCAGCTCACATAATTGAAGAAACCGAATATGTGAAAACAGTATGTGGGTGATTTATTTATTATATTAGACATCATGTTAGCATGATATGATTTGTAAAAAATGAAGTCTAATACAGATCAGTGGCTTTGTTTCTCCTCCCGAGAACACATGAGGGAGAGCAACAGAGTTTGGCAAAGGACACTCTTGATGACTGAAGTTTGAACGTGTGGTTAGTATCCTCTGAGGATATGAACCTCTGCTCTTACACGTGGAGTAAACTTAAAGAATGAGCCAGGGGGTTCCGAATACCTATCAGTGCTTCATTGGTCCCCCCACTCACCATGCACTTCCTACTGTGTAGAGTTCTTCTCGGTTGTTTGACAAGTGTTGGTCCGTGTTCCCCAGTAGATGTTTATGTTTCCTGCTGAGTTCCTGTCTCTCCTTATCTTGTTCCTTCTCAGTCCAGGGTTGCCATCTCCCAATGACTACATGTTGGCACGTTCCTTCACGAGAAATGTGAAATCTTATAAGAATCCATTGATAATGGGTAACAAAACATATATTTGTATGAACTATTTCTTAGAAAGATGGAAAAATTTGAACATAGAGTTTGTAACATTCAGATTTTTTAATTTATCTTTGAGTGTCTTGCAGTTCTATAGGTCACCAACACATGGGGCTTATTTCATGCATAAATTTGTATGATCTCCACTTAGTAATTATTCTCTGGTAATTACTAAATAGTAATTATTCTCTACTAATTACTAGACAGTAATTATTTTGTAGTAATTCCTAGTGATTATTTTGTAGTGATTACTAAATAGTAATTGTTTTATAGTAATTGCTAAATAGTAAATTAGTACTAAATTACTATATAGAAAAGCAGAACTAAATAGAATTAAATGCTAATGACTAAATAGTAGTTATTTTATTGTATAATATATCTTAGATTTGACTGAATTATAAAGACCAAGTGCTCATTTTCTGCAATCTAAACAATATTGGCCTTAATGCAAGTTAGATGGATGATAGTTATTTCAATCTGAGGTTAGTATATATTTATTACTTTCTAGATAAATCAGATACACTGCGGCAGGCATAGAAGGAAAAGTAGTTAGTATTAAATGCTTTTGAAAAAAAATAAAGTATTTTTTTCTTCTAGATTCGAACTACTCTGGAAAAGATCCGAAACCAAATGTTTAAAGATGAAGGACATAGTGGCACAAAGCACACACTTGATACAACGGTAATGAATTCAAAATGCACCACCTTTATTGAGTCCTTCCCTAAATACGCATAAAGCCATATAGAAATTATTCTTTGAAGCTTTGAAGGATGAATGTTAAATATTTTATCAGTATCTAAAGACGTTAATGGACATATGTATGAAATATTTAACCACAGATATCATTAGTAGAATCAGATTGGAAGGATCAGACCTTACCTGAATATTTTAAACTGGGCTTATTTATCTAGAGTATATGGGAAGATGTCAGCCCAGCCAAAATACATGGCAGCAGACAGATGTACAAGCTTTTAGGCATACCTGGGCCACAACAATGGGCACGTAGTTAAAGCCATTAGGCTGAGTGATCAATCGATAACTTTAAAGGAAGCCCTCCTCTGTGATCAGCCTTATATTCTTAAGGTTGAGTAGTCCGTACTTAGCCTTGTCTGGATTATGCCCACTTAAACCTCATCCGATCCAAGTGCACATCAGCAATATCAGTGTTACCACTATGTAGTATGATCACAGAGAACTCCAAAGATAAGGTATGACGAATAAACATGGTCTCCTTTGTCATACTCAGTCCCCCAAACTAGCACAACCAGCTTCGATTATTTCCTATAACTATGTGTTCTGAAACTGAAGAAAAAAAAAAAGGAGGGGGCGTTAATGTTTACAAATGATGGGAAAGATCAAATATTTAGTTTTGGTTATGATGAGTTGCCTATTACTTTCAAGTGCAGGTTTCTACTGGGTGGGCTTGATATCTGATCCTGGAGCTGAGGTTAGAGGTCTGGGATAGAAGGTCCAGGCTACAGTGTCGAGATTTTGGTAGTAAGGATGGTACATAAACACCCGAAACTGGAGGAGATCACCAAGCATGTGCGTGTAGACAGAAATAAAAGAAAATCTGAGCTCTGAGTCCTGAGATTTCCAACATTTAGATGTTAGGAAGAATCATCAAAGGAGACTGAGAGAAGAGACGAGTAGATTAGGAGGAAAAAACAGGAGAGAATGGAGTCAATGAAGACAAGAAAAAGGATCTCAGGAAGAGGTGTGGGCCCGCTGTGTCAAATGATGTCCATGGGTCAAGTAACCTGAGGACCGAACATTGATCATTGGCTAGAAGAATAGGGATGTTTGGGGAACCTTGATCGAAGTGCTTCTTAGGAAAGGGGATAAACTGTGTAGCCAGTGTCTCTGCTCGGCCATCTCAAACCACAGAAGGTTAGCAGACAAAGTGAGCATCAAAATATCACCCTCTTCCCCTCGGTATCTGGGTAATATCACAGTGGAGATTTAATCACGATGATCTAGAGCTCTCCCGTTACAGAACCAAAGTCTGTATGCCCAGTGTTTTGAAATGCCAAACTCAAAACATCGGAGTAGAGAGTAAGGAGAATTTTATTGACGGAGAAGACACCAGCCGGGAAGATGGAAGACCTAGTGGTGACTCAAACCCATCCTCAGAATGGACAGAGTTCAGGCTTCTTTTATGTCGAAGGAAGGAGACAGGAGGGGCAAGAGGTGATTGATGGCCACAGCTCTCTGGGCACCAGTAGAATCCAAGGAAGATTGTGAAACTTCTTTGTTCTCAGTCTGCTGACTCTAGTTGATACCAATCAGGGTAACAAGATTCCTGCAAATCTTTGATAAACAATCATTATTTTTGTACCTACTTCCCTTATCTCCTCGAGAGAGGCACTTTCTGGTAAAGGGCCATTTCTGTACAACTCAGTCTGCAAGCAGAGTTCCTCTAACGATTAGCATGTCGATATGAAGAAGCTATTAACCCGAAGGCCATGGGAACAAAGCCTGCACGAGGTGGAGTCAAGGAGGCCACGTGGTTCACTCAGTGTGAAATGCTCCTCCAAGTGTGGCCTGCATCCAGCAGCGTCAGCAGCATCAGGGAGCTTCTTAGAAGTGTAGCTTCGAGGGCTCCACCCTGGACCTCCTGAACCAGAATCTGCATTTTAACCAGACCTATCACCAGGTGATTCATATGCACGTTCAAGTTTGAGAGGCACTGACCTATGACCTTTGTAGTTAGCTACTGCTGCCCATAATCTACCTTGTACAAGAACATTAACAAATATTCTTTATTAAATTAAAAAATAAAATAATGCCTACTCTATATATGGACAGTGAGAATATGTGCAAGGGTCTGAAGTAGAAACAACAAATCCATAACATAATTATGGTAACTATATTATTTATATGCACTGCATTCTTTTTATCTTGTATTTCTATAAATGTAGTCTGCCTATTGTACTAGAGAGGATATAGGTTATATTGTTATACAAACTGGGATTCTAACCCCGGTTTTGGCAGTTATTTTGGGTATAACCTTGAACTTGTTCGTTAAACTCTCTAATCCTCAATTTCCTCATCTGTATGATGGACATAATACCTTCCAGTGTTCTGAGTATTCAGGGAAAAGAATATATAAAACATCTGAAAGATTATCTGGCACATAATAGATGCTTACTAAATAAAAGTTGTTATATTATAGGGTCTATACCTAATTGCATAATAATGCCTCAGTCTGTCTTGAACTCATTTGGAAGAGCACGGGCTGGACAATGAGGAGGCTGTATCCTGAGCTCTCCTGCTCACTTGCTGTGTACACTGGGGCTCTGTCCCCCAGTTCTCATGTGGGAAAATGGACGTGGTTGAGTTAGATGGTCTCAGGTTTCCCTCCTACTTCCACATGTCCTTGATTCCAGGTGAGATTTGCTTTGTGCTCCAAGTGTGTTTTCAGTGAGCTAGAGTCTATGTGGGTTACACTGGCAGTAACATTCAGTTCTGACATCTCTGATTGGGACATTAGAAAGGGTGATTACATCGAAGTAGCGTTGAACATTGAATATTATGTATTGTAACTATGAGGTCTGATTATATTAGTTTGTAATGAAATGTAAGTAACCAAAATGCATTTATGTCTGTAGTTTAGATTTTTTAAAAATTGGCCTTGTAGGTATTTATTTCCTAAAAAGGACTTTAATCATATATTTAAAACTGTATGGAATATAAAAAGCATAAAAGATGTAAAGAAGCCCAGCCAGTGTGGCTCAGTGGTTGAGGGTCGACCCATGCACCAGGAGGTCACCAGTTCAATTCCCAGTCAGGGCACATGCCCAGGTTGTGGGCCAAATCCCCAGTGGGGGGCATGCAGGAGGCTGCCAATCGATGTTCTCTCTCGTCAATGTTTCTCTCTCTCTCTCTCTCTCCCTCTCCCTTCCTCTTTCTCTAAAATCAATAAAGAAAATAATCGATGTAAAGATGTACTTCTGCCTCTTTTAAATACAAGAATCTGTTCAAATTTAAGCAAACATAGAGGCCAGCTGCTTCATCTAGAAATCCCTGCCGGTATTTGAGACTCACAAGGTTTATTTGTGTGACCTGAACCTCCCCTGCCATAGGTAACACAGAGTGATGGGGGTTGTTGTCGAAGCTGGTAGAGGAAAGGCAAGGCTGGGTCTGTGATTCTCCTGTTTGTTCATTTCAGGGCGGTGGACACATTCGAAACGGCTCCGCCTCTGACATGGCCCCCTCCTCGTGCTGCAGTCTGGATCTGCTCATGGAAAGAATGAGAGGCAAAGACCTGCAGCTCTTAGACATGAGCAAAGAGAAGGAAGTGTTGAAAATGAAGGTATGGCCATGAGGAGGAATCTCTAACTTTGTATTTCGAGCCTTTGAGCTAGCAGGATAGATTCGTGGACCCGTGAGAGCCGATTTGCACACCCATCCACGGGTCCACGCATAGGCTCACGCACGTAGAGAAGCGCGTGACGTTTCATAAGTTAAATCTCACTATTTTATTTGGGAGTCTACTTTTATTATTAAGATCACACAAAAGTTCAGCCATTATAAAGTCTCAGCTGTGCAAGGTGGTGACTCTGTAGAGATCAGAGGTACGGCACGGTGCCTCTAGTTAGCACTGTGCCGGGCACTTGAAAATTTGTTAAGAGGGTCGATCTCGTGACATGATCTTACTACAATAAAATTGTTAAAGGTCTTCACACGTTTATTAAGTATTAATTACAGCATTTATAGTCAAATGTCTGATTTTTTTGTTTTATTAATCTATTGTGGGATGCTTTATATTTTCCTTTTTTATTACATATAATATATATTATAAATATATATACATTATATTGTATATACATATATGTATAGTATATATTCTATTTAATATACATATTATATGTTACACACACACATGGTCCTGCAATGACTATCTTGGTAGGTAAATCTTTGCAGCCACCCTTGATTATTTTTTTAGGTTAAATTTTTGAAAGATGCTCTGGCCGGTTTGGCTCAACGGTTAGACCATCAGCCTGTGGACCAGAGAGTCCGGATTTGGTTCCCGCTAAGGGCACGTACCCCGGTTACAGTTTGTCCCTGGCCCCCGTTGGGGTTGTATGGGTGGCAGCCACTCAACATGTCTCTCTCATGTCGATGTTTCTCTCTCTCCCTCCCTTGCTCCCTCCCACTCTATCTGATGAGAAAGATAAAAATGTCCTCGGGTGAGGATTAAAAAAAAAAATTTTTTTTTTTGAAAGATTCATGACACTTTAGCTTTATTGCCTTAATATGCCAATCTTGTCTATTTTCATCACTGCTATTTCGGGGCAATACATCTTTTAGTACTGTCGTGGACATGGAGGGCGAAATGCTTGCAAAGATGTGTATAAGCTGCTGGGCACCGTGGAAGTCTGAAGGGTGCAGTCTGTCCACGCAGGGCACTGGTGTCCCTGGAGCTCTGGTTGGGCCTGGCCAGGGCCAGTCCACCGCATGACAGCCCCACTAAATAGGGCTTCCTCATCTTACATTTTCCTCTCACAGGCTAGTGTCTTTTCTCCTGTCCATTGACACGAGGGTGCAAATGGGACAGTTCCAGCCTCTGTGTTTTTAATTGCCGTCCAATCCTCTGCCTTAAACCCTTTCGCTATAAATGTCAGAACATGCACAGTGACCTTTCTCCCCCCAGCTGGAAGCTTCCAGAGAAGCAGGAGCAGCGGCCCTGAGAGACATGGCCCAGAGATTATTTGACACGTACCAGACTCGGGCTGAAGAAGTCAGCAAGCAGCACGAGGACAGCAAACACTTCCTCCAGGTACCGAGCGGGCAGCTTGTCTGTCGGAGAACTAGCCCCAGCTGCTCATGCCCCTCTTTCTGAGTTAGACGTGAAGCGACGGGAAGGGCAGGAGGCTGCTCTGTGCCCATCTCCCTCCGGCCCCCGCTGAGTCAGCACCTGGAGGTTTCCAAGCTGCTGTTAGCTCGGAGCCCCGCAGCGCACAGGTGGCAGATGGACCGGGCCACCCTGCCTGGAAATCAGGGCTGTCCCCGGTGACCCGGGCCAGTGACTTCGCTCCTGGTGCTGCCTTTGACTAGCTGACTGAGGCTGGGTCTCTGCACCTTGCGGACCTGGATTTCCTTGTGTCTAAAATGAACACGTTGGACTAGTGAGATGGTTTCAAACTGTTTTTGATCCTAGAATATATTTCTCAGGTTGAGCAAACAGAAAACTTGTGTGTATGTGTACATATGTATTTTAAGATACATATAAAATTATGTATTTCATATTTTAATCTATAAATATATACATTAAAATATAAAAACATATGTGTGTGTGTGTATTATAGACACACATGCATTTTTTTTGGTTTCTTTTTAAATTTGAAGTATATATTCTAGGGCCAATAAAAGTTTATCTAAAGAATGTATTCTAGGACTGAAAAAGAAAAAATAGTGTGTGCACGTGTGTGTGTGTGTGTGTGTGTGTGTTCATCCATGGGAAGCTCTTTCATGCTGGGGGGGCCTGGATCTCTGCTCGCTCAGGCCCTAGGGAAACACAGTGGCGACAGTAGGAAGTCCTCTCCTAGGTGACACGACTTCATGCTACAGCCTGTGCAGGTGCAGGTTGCAAACTCACAGGCACGCAGGGTGCAGAGAAAGTGCCCGAGTGAAGTGCACAGGCTCGCGTGGGCCCCTGAGCTCTGTGAGTGGTGCCCTGCAGGGACAGGAGGGCGCCAGGCCCCTCAAAGGGGACTGTGCCTCAGCCCGGAGCTGCCGGCAGGAGTGCTCACCTGCTGTGGGCCAGGAAAGCCAGACACTTTTTAAAAACAGTACAATCTCAAATGCTATTAAACACACCCAGACACGTGAGTGTGCATGTCAGCGGTCAGCTGAAGGCGCCCACGGGTGGCCCGCAGGTGGCCAGGTGGACTGGTCTCGGCTGCCACGTGCCGGACACTGGAGAGCTGTTCTGCTTTTAGGACACTTTTGCATGAAACGTAAAACATTTTTTTCTTAAACATATAAGATTTAATTTTTGTTCTAGATAAGTTTTGTTGAGAAAAAGTCAAAAAGGTTGCTTTTCTTAAATTTTCATCTCTCTTTCTCGCCCCAGTTCAGGTAGTGTGCTCCAGTGTTACCATTGTAGGAATAGCATTTATATACTATTAATTCTCTGTTGACTTGGTGGTGGTGTGGTCCATTGGGTTTATTTGGAAGGCAACAATACAGTCAAAAATGCTAAGCAAGTGTGAATTATTATTATTATTTGGCTACTCAGAAAGTTATAGAAAATAGTATCTGTACAGTAAAACCTCGATATAAAGGACTGATTCAGGCGAGGGGGTGTCTGTTAAAGTTGAAAGTTTGTTATATAATAAAGTAGGTTTTGGAATGCATATGTTAAAAAACTGACTAGTTAATTTACCTGTTTTTACTTATGTGGACACGTTTGTGTAGTTAAAATTAATTGTGTATGAAAGTTTAATTTCACATTAGAATTTTCTACATGTGTTACTGCAATTCTAAATTTATACTGAATAGGCCTAGTAAATGCGTGCATTCACCAGTCACCGGGAGTCAACAAAGGCACACGGCGGGGGCGTGGCTTAGCGCCCGTGGGAACATTGGCGGCACCTGCAGAAAGTCACACTCGCTCGAGACAACAGAACCAATGATCACGACGGTGCCGTGTGATCACGTGCTAATCATTTGCTGAACATTGTTTCCGAGCGGTGACTCTCAGATTTAAATATGTAGGCTGTAGTTGTAGATATGTAATATTTACGTTGGCAAAATTATTACAGCGTTTTTCTCCAACACGTGGCCTATTCCTTAAAATTTGTTCAAATAACAGTGAATCATCAACAACAAAAAGTAACCTGTTAAATTAATAATAAGCAAATCTTGGTTCAAAGCATTTTAAGATTATCAGGGTGTTAATTTTCACATATGACACATGGACCAAAAATGTTGTCTGTTAAATCTGAAGTTCGTTAAATCAAGTTTCGAAAAATCAAGGGTTTACTGTGTAGGTTTAATAAATGAATGGACTGACAACTGTTTTTCCCACCAAAGGTGAACAAACTTGAAAAAGAACAGGAACTGAAACAGCAGGTTGAAAATCTAAATCAAGTTGCTGAGAAACTTGAAGAAAAGCATAATCAAATCATAGCGCTGGAGAACCTCGTGCAGAGAATGGAACAGGTAAGGGCCTGCAGAATGAAAGGGACTTCTTCCTGCAGTTAAAGAAATAACACAATAAATAAGGTAACATCACACAGCCCTGGCTGGTGTGGCTCAGCGGTTAGAGCGCCGGCCCATGGACCAGTGAGTCCAGGTTTGATTGTGCTCAAGGGCACCTACCTCTGTTGCAGTTCGTCCTGGGTCCTGGTCTGGTTGTGCTGGAGGCAACCAGTCGATGTGGCTCTATCACATGGATGTTTCTCTCTCTCTCTCTCTCTTTCTCTCTCTCTTCTCTCTCTCTCTCTCCCTCCCTCCCACTCTATCTGATAAGTAGAAAAATATCCTCAGGTGAGGAATAAAAAAAAAAAAGAGATAACATTACACAGATGTACTCTTTGCAACTCCTAGGACTTGAGGAAGTACCCAATGATGTTAGTTTCTTCCGCACACGTTCAATACGATCTGTCCTGTTAGGGACCCACCTCTCTACAGATCTGACGACATCACTGCTGTCTCTCTCCCCTTTCACTACAGGTATGGCTTAGACGGGGAGCCAGGCGAGGCTGTGAATGGAAACCAAGGAAAAGATCACCAAGTCTAGCTATTACTAGTAACAATGTAGTGGATGCATCCCTGTAGTCGTAACATTTTTATGGATTAGAGTCAACCAAGTACCCATTTTTGGCCCCCCCGCACCCACTGTAGCTTCACAAAAACCTGCAGCTGCACTAGAACAGATAGAATCCACATTCAAAAAGACATTCTATACAAATTGGAACTTTCAAAAGAGAATGTAGAGAAAGTAATACTAGAAGAAAAATGTATTAAAAGTTACATGCAGTGTTCCTTTAAGTAGCTGGCACTCCAAATATATACAAAAGACGAGCACATACATTTAATTATACATGTCTTAAAACTTAGAATTCAGACAAACCAAGATATACTCTTTTTTTTTGGTAGCAAAATAAAGTAATAAAAAATTGGCATCTCTGAAATTGACTTAGGGGTAGATAAGAATATAGGCATTGACTTCTAGTAAGTATTTTCTAGTAAATTTTTTGTTTATTATATTAATTCCCTGATTTTCCTCTGTTCTTCTCCTCAGCCTTGTTTAATTTTATGAGTCTGCCCAAGTTAATGCCATTTTTAAAACGTGACTTCAAAAGCAGCATCCCATTTCAATATTCACATTTCTCGGCAAAGGGGCTGAATACTTTTTTAATATGTCCAAATAATTTAATTTATAACACGGTGTATTGGGCCGAATTAGTAATCTGAATGAAGGTCCTATGAGGAAATCATGAAAATTAAATAAGCCCAATTAACTAAATCGAATAATAATAATAAAATACAGCTACAACTGTGTTATATGCAGGTCTCTGAACGTTATACTTAGCCAGTCACTGGGCTGGATGTCCTCAAGCAGCTGGTTTGTCCAAGTAGGACAGTCTGTAATTAAGGTGTTTTGATAAGTTGTAACATTTGGATGAATGTTCTGTAGTGTTAGCATATCTATCATGTAATACATAGTTTAACAAGCTCAGATAGCACAAAGAATGCTGCATGTAGGAAAGAAAGACAGTTCACCAAGCAACTTGACTAACCAGTTTGACCTTTACATTTAGAGTTGCAGTCACCTCAAACCCAGTGACACGGGGTCGGGTTTAGTGACCAGCTGTCAGTCCCTGAAAATTCACCAAAGAGCAGTGGAATATACTTGGTATTTCCTAGAAACCCCAGCAAATCTGTATTCAATGTGAGTTCATGTCAGAATTCTGGGATATATTGACTCGACTTTATTCCACAAATATTTGAGCACCTACCTACCGTGTGCCAGGCAGAGCTAGAGGTTAGGTATCTATTTGTGTAAAGAACAAGACATAATCTGTTTGTGGAGATTACACTGTAGTGTGGGACTCAAGGAACTTTCTAGATCTCCCTTCATTCTCCTAGGGCTCCTTAGGAATGCTGACACCCCTGCTGGAGGTAGGGGATGCACCCTAGGAAAAGGTGAAGTGGCTCAGACACTGGTAGACCGTTTTGAGAAGTGATGAGCTAGCATTTGTCTTGACATTGACCCATCGTGGCAGCTGTCTCTAGGAGCTCTGTGATAGAGGAGTGGACAAAGTGCCCCAGGGTTCAGCAAGGCCTTGCAGTGACATCCAGAATACTTGGCCAGTGACTTCTTAGAGTGTAGTCCATTGGGATGTCTGGGCGGTGGGGACAGAGTGGAAGGGCAAGGTGCAGGAGTTTTTTTGTTTTTTGTTTTGTTTTCAAAGACATTTAGTTTAAAGATACATTATTATATTTGTAAAGAAAACATGCAAATACATAGAACTTTACGAAGCAAAGCTGGGCAACAGCATTGGTGTGAGGCGATACAGCGAACGTCGGCTGTGCTGAAGGGTTTCTCTCAGGCAGAGTGTGCATCAGAATGAGGGAAGGGGGTACAGAGACTTCGGAATTAATGGGGAAAAGATGAGTTCAACGAGGAAATGAAAATTAAAAATGAACATCCACAGCAAAGGTTGATAAATTCCGCCCTGGTAGTGGGTGCCCTCTGGAGAAGGATTCATTTTCTATACACCAGTAAATAGCCATTAGTGCTGCGAGGCCTGGTAATGAACACATTACTTAAAACCTTCACCATCTGCCCCACTTTAATAGGAATACAGTGAGAACAGATTCCATACACACAGCGATAAGCCAGCAAAAACGTCCAGCCAGAGCCTTGCGATCCAGCACGGTCCCTTTCGCGAGCTGTGCAGTTTTGCAGCATCTCATTTGTTTTCTCGTGTCGCTGATTCAGCTCTATCAGAATTTCAGAGCTCAAAGGCGCGTTTGCGACCCATGGTTCCTCATCATCATTTTGTAGAGCACAGTGCAAACGGGAACTATTCCACAGTCGTCCGGTTACCAGTTTACAATCCTTTCCACTATGTCTCCATCTTCTCTGATGCCAGATAGAAATGGCATCCTTGGTTCCTACATCATTTAGATGTTAACATCTGGCCCTGGTTTACATTGGTGCTGCTCCATTCTGATCAATAGGGCAGGGAACACTTCAGCTCCCCGAGGTGTGGCTTGGGAAGAGCAGATTGCCCACTGGGTGGCGCTGTGCACTCCTTTCCCTTTCCAAAAGGCACAGTCCCTGAGACGTGATTTTCTGAGTTGTCAAAGAGGAAGCATTAACACCTCTCGCCAGGGCAGAACAGCGACATGCCTAATTGTCTGGCCTGCCTGTACCCTGGTTATAGAGATCGTTTAATCCAGAGTCAGTCCATTTACAAGAATGTTAAACAGCATTTTTCTCCCTACAAATTCAACATATATTACCAGTCATGTGTTTCTTTGTTGATCCAAGTAGTAGTACAGTAAGCTTACAAGGCATACCTGTGATCCATCCGCAATAATTTGAACACTACAAGGGCCACACCAAAACAATTCCTGTCACAAGAATGCTACACAAAAGACTTGAAAGAGTATAAATTTAAAAATAACAGCACATACGATAGGAAGTGTTTGGCACCTTCAAATTGTTATACAGTGAGGTCCTTACGTTTCAGAGAAGCCCGTAGGCTCTTCACATATATTATCTTCAGTCATCCCAGTGTTCAGTATAGGAGTATTATTCCCATCTTAGAGATGTTTGAAGAGCCAAAAGCAGGACTCATACAAATATAGAATAAATACATGTCAGATGTTTTATTCAAGTCATTAATTAATGGGGGAATCAGTAAAATGGTAAAATTGGTTTAAATAAAATATTTTGAGAAACTGGCTACTTATAGACATTTTGAAAAAATGAATATAGAATAGGATTACTAGGTTAGATACTTAGCTGGTTAATGTTCTTTCAGGGCAATTAATCCATAACCTTTGGGATTATCTTTTCAAACAGGCAGATCTATAAATTAACATTTAACTTTAAAGTTAGGGCACCAATAATAAATAATAAAAATCAAACACAGGAAAATTCTCCAAAAGAATTAAATAATCCTTGGGTTGAAATATTAAACAGCGACCCAATGTGACGTTAAAACCACATGCTGCATAGTACTTTGATGTCCAAGTTTTGATTGATTTTTATTAACAGCAATAAGGTCCAGAGAGATTAAAGCTTCGGCAAAAATTATGCAGCTACAAAGTTTCAAAACCAGGTCAGTGCACATCCAAACCATCCCGATGTTTCCTTCTACGGTCCTGCTTTGTATCTCACCCACACAGATACTGTTGCAGAGATGAATTTAAACCGCATTGTGTAAAATAAAAATCTCTGACCATAAAATAAAATAAAACAAAACACACACACAATCCTCCCAGTTTGGTTTTTTTGTTGACTTGTCTATTTTTCTTTTGGATGGAAAGAATTTGGCTTCAAAATGACATTAAGGCTTATTTTTTCTCTATGTCATTTCTCTTACATTCTAATTAGGAAGTGACTTTCATTTGTGACCTTGATCCTTCACATGCATTTACTGGTTTCTCCTTCCCGACAGATGCCACGTAAGCAGGTAGATATCAGGTAAAGCGCTATAGTGTTGGGTACCAACGAGAAGCACCTGTGTTGGGAGAGCCTGTGCCCAGAGAGATGAGCAGGGTTTGCATTCGGGGTGGGCTGGAGAGACCCAGGAGTGTTACTGAGCAGGCTCTGTGTCAGCAGATCACAGGAGGAAGGGGGCAGAAGCTCTGAGGACAGGTAAGGACCGTGAAGACAGCCAGTGAAGACAACGTGACCTTGAGCTACGTCAACACCACACAGGAGAAAGCCTGCCCAGGCTTCACTGTGGTGGGTTGTAACAGCTCCATGCAGAATGATCTCTCTAGCTCAAGACATATTCCTATTATTGCAAGAAGCATCTTTTGTGTGACCAGTTTACAAGAATGCCTTACCACATGCACACATATTGACAGAGAGACAGAGAAATAAGCAAATATTGTTATCTTATTTTCTCCTAGGAAAAAAGAACACTGCTAGAAAGAAAACTGTCTTTGGAAAACAAGCTGCTGCAACTCAAACCCAACACTACACGTGCTAAAAGGTTTGCTAATCTACCTCCTAAGTACCAGCAGTTCCTGGTGTCTTTTCTCTCCATGGAGCCATTGGCCAGTGGGCAGAAGGCCACTCCCCTAAGGAATGGGGAGGCCTGTGAGTGCAGGAGAGGGGAGAATTCCCAGCATGAACAGCTGCGTGCCTCCCCTCCCCCACCCCCTGGGGAATGGAGGAGGGGCGGAGTCTACTGAGGTTACAGGGAAACTAGAGGGAAGGTTAATCCTTCTGAAGATTGAGTGAGCCCGTCCCGTGTCCTGTACCCTTGGTGATAAAGGGGACAATGTAGAGGTCTTCACTCCCCCTTTGCTTCTGATTTTTTTTTTTTTTTTATCCTCACCCGAGGATATTTTTCCATTTTTTGTACAGATAGAGTGAGGGAGAGAGAGGAAGGGAGAGAGAGAGAGAGAAACATCGACGTGAAGGGACACATCGAGTAGCTGCCACCCGCACGACCAACCAGGGCTGGGGACAAACTGCAACCGAGGTACGTGCCCTTAGCGGGAACTGAACCCGGGTCTCTCCGGACCGCAGGCCGACGCTCTACCCGCAGAGCCAAACTAGCCAGGGCTGTTTTTTTTTATCCTCATCCGAGGACATTTTTCCATTTTTTGTTCAGATTGAGTGGGAGGGAGAGAGAGAGAGAGAAACATCGATGTGAAAGGGACACATCGAGTGGCTGCCACCCGCACGGCCCAAGCAGGGCTGGGGACAAACTGCAACCGAGGTACGTGCCCTTAGCGGGAACCGAACCCGGGTCTCTCCGGACCGCAGGCCGACGCTCTAACCGCTGAGCCAAACCGGCCAGGGTTGCTTCTGATTTTTCTGTTAATGGGTCTCTGCCGCAGCAGGCATTAAATTTCCCAGCCACAAGTGGAATTGTAAGGTAGGTTTGTGGTGTTCCCCAACTTTGTAGGGAGTGACAAATATACTGTGAAAGCTTCCTTAGTTCTCGGGATGTCCTTTAAAATACTGATAATTCACCAGCAGTCACAGCCCTCAGTGTGCTCCGGGGTGGGAGTGGATTTATGGCTATCACCACAACTGGGTTACCACTCAGCTGCTGCTAGACCACTTCTTTGGAATATCGTGTTATAACTCACTTCAGAAGAAATTTCCTGAAGTTTTCCCTTCACCTTCTTTTCTAATCTAAGCTACCACACCCTTGATATGTTATGATACTGTGTTCAAAGGAAAATGTTTCAAGATCTTAGTCCATCTATCTGGGGAATGTGCAAATTCTTATTCTCATGCATTCCATACTGTATGCTCCAACAGCCCTCTCTTGGTCTCTGATTCCCTCCCCCCCCATTTTCTTTTCCTTTCTTATCACCTCTCTCTCCTCATCTCTCATACTGTCTGGTTCACATTCATTTTGACCACATATCCCCAAACCAGAACTGTGCTGACCTTGGTGGTTGCACGCGTCTATCAGAACACGCTGGGATGGAGCCCAGTCATTGTTTTCCCACATTCTTCCCTGTGAACAAGCGCAAAGCCCAGGTGGACTGTCAAGAGAGTTTCGTATCTGCACATCTCTGTAGAGAAGGAAGGAAATACTGGGGCAGACATCCATCGGTCTTTAGGACTACTTACATGTGCTTATAACTTTTGTTTGTTCGTTAATCCTCACCCGAGGGTATTTTTTCCATTGAACCTGCAACCTGGGTACTTGCCCTTGACCTGGAATCAAACCTGAGACCCTTTGGTCCGGGGGATGACGCTCTAATCACGGAGCCACTCCAGCCAGGGCAACTTAAAACTTAATCCTAAGAAAATCTTTGGCTTATGTTATTTTTTTTTTAAAAGAGACAGCTTTCCATGTTGTAGAACTCCTGGCTGGGACAGTGAGCCTTCCCATTAAGAGTCCAGAGAGTCTGAGTTTGATTTTCTTTCTTTTAAAGATGATTTTTTTTTATTGATAATAGGGTTTTTGTCTGTCTTTGAGCCAAAAAATGTAACCATTTTAAAAATGAAACCGACCTATTCTTTCAGTTCTATTATATATGAGCAGCGGTTATAAAGACTTCTCAGAAAGGTTTTAAAGATGATTTAGAAATGTCCTGAGGGAAATGGATGTTTTGTGTTTATAGAATGGTGTTTGAACATCCAGGCTTTGACCATTTTCATAGATTTGTAAGTATCACAAATATTCATTTTATTGCTTTTTCTGAGCGATGTGTAGAGGCATTCACTTTGCTAAGGGCTAGAAAATGAAAGCAGTATAAATCAGACTCTTTTTGGTTAAAGCAGTAAAACTTGGTTAAGCCACCACAAATAAAGGTGATTTCCGTTCGGTTAAGATTGGAGAGATGTGGCCCAAAAGAACATGCATCTCTGGGAACATGGGCGGCCACCCTTCGGCACCTGGCGTGGTTTTTAGAAACCAGATTGCTTTGTGCTGCCCTCAGGTGTGAGCGTCCGGCTCCGCCCTCGTTCTTCCTGTTTGGTTCCTTACCGTTCCCCGCGGTTTCCACCAGCTGGTTCGTATTCTCCGCCTTTTCCTTTCCAATTCCAGAGGAAAGAGACTGATGGGCCTAACACTCCTTCCTGGGTGGGGCAGAATCTCAAGCCCCACTGGATCAGAAGATGCACTTTATCAAGATCCCTGATGATTTAATAAGGTCCTCCAATGCATATCAAGTTTGAGAAGCAATTTTTAGTACATGATATGAGACAAAATGGAGACTTTTTTTCCCTCCGATGAGGATGTGTGCAGTGTCACAGGGATTTCCATGACCTTTGTAATATTTGAAGAGGCTATGGAAATTGGAATTGCGATGGCATTGGATGTTGCCTACTAATCTTAAAACCTTAGTAAGTGAACGCAATATTCATATTGTTTTATAAAAGAGCTCATTTTCCAAAAGTACATTCATTTTACCCCTTAAGTCTGTAATACAATCTTGTAACGCAGAAGAGGTAGGAGTTATTGTGTCTGTTGTACTGAGGCTTACAAAGGCGTGTCACTGCAAACACAAGGCTCCCAAGTGTGGTGGTCTTGCCACAATGCACATTGCCTCACAACTCAGATAATGTTGGCAAGAAGAGAAATATTCAAAAGCTGTATAATCAATTTCAGTTACCTAAATAGCTTTAGGAAAGGATGATAATCTAAAATCACACTTCACCCACCTTCTTCACAATGGTTGATGTAGACTCAAAGTATTAGCTGGACTTTAATTTCCTCCTTTTATTTTTTATCCTGGACCTACTTACAGGTAGCAGAATTACCAAAAGTAAGAAGCCAAAATAATAAAAAGACAAACCCAGACAATCCGCAACGTACGCTACCTCTGTATCACTGGATATCGGTTTCTGATATATGTAAAGTCTCCATTCCTGGCAACGTGTTCTAACCCTGCTGCCCCCTCTAATTATCTGTGCATTTGGATGGGTGCTAGGCCTGTGGGTGCTCATAGGCAAGACAGGGTCGATATGCAAGCGCTTCACCTGGCTCAATACAATTTGGCTCAACCACCTGCTGGCGGGAGGAGAGCCACAGGTGGCCAGAAAGGCGCTTTGGACATGAATTGATATTCTTACTCCAGTTCACATCTGAGCTAACTAGAGGCTGCTTTATGGCTGTTTATCTCCCGTGTGTCTGTGTCAGGGGCCCCGACTGTCTTAGTTTACGATGCCCAGTAGCAGGGCAGCGAGTGAGGAGAACCTGGCGGCACAGCTGTAAGAAAATGAAACAAACCCCAGCTGTATCAGCGACTCCTCTACTCCCTTTTCCCTTTGCATTTCCAGCGTCCAGGGTCTTCAGATGGAGATTTCCCTGCTCCAGGAGCAGATCTCTCACCTGCAGCTCGTGATCCACTCCCAGCAGCAGAACCTGCGCAGAGTCATCCAGGAGGTCAGGTGAATCGAGCAGGTTTCTCGGGTGGATGTTTACAACGAGGAGACCCAGTACAAGCGCCTGGCCTGGGCTTTCCGAGCAGGGGATTCTTCTCCCCAGGGACAGGTCCTTTCTATTCCCGTGCACAGGGCTGTTTCCATGCTCCCTGTCTGCGTGCCGGCACACGGAGTGGTCTCAGCGAAGATATCAGGGAAATTGTATTTAACTGCTCTTCAGAGGAGCGATTTTCAACCTTTCTCATCTCATGGCACACAGAAACTAATTACTAAAATTCTGTAGCGCACTAAAAAATACATTATATTTTTTGCCGATCTGACACAAAAAAATAGTATAATTTTGATTCATTCACACTGGATGGCCATTGTGTTGGCTGTTGTCTTTTTTCTTTTTTTTTTTGACAATCTTTTTTGACAGTCTAAGGGAAAAGAGGCCAGTGCCCCAGACTAAACAGTCAGGTATTGCATGTTTAAAAAGGCTTGTGGCGCACTGGTTGAAAATTGCTGCTTTAGATGTTTCAGTGATTTTTTTTAAATGTGTCCTGAGCAAGATAATGTACACTGTTCTTTAGAAGACTTTGTAGATTTGGAGACTCCGCCTTTTTTTTCCTGAGGAAGGGACAATTGATCAGTTTTATATAAACTTACTTAGGAGTGTTAGGACGGGGGGTCCTCCGGCCCTTCTTCTCTGGGAACATCCTGGCAAGGGAAAGAGAAGAGGTCACTGTAGTAGCAGCTGCCGGATGGATGGTGGATGGAATACTCAAACATTTACTTCAAGACAGGTATTGATTTGGTTTTGGGGGATCTGCTTTAGACTTAAAATCAAATCTTCATTTATTTTTTATTTTTTACTATGTGATATTTGTTTCTTCTAAAAAGGAGTCTTTCTAAATAACTCAGATACCTTCCTGACATACATGTAACATTGTACCGGCTTGGCTAGGACCTCGCCAAGAGAAATGGCTTGTGGCACTCCAGAGCCTGAAAGGACCTGGGGGTAGCCCACGTTCCCATTTTATAGATGGGAACACTGAGAGCCCGCTGTAGTTCAGAGAGAGCTCTGGAAGTGGCAGGGTTGGCCTTAGAATCCACGCGTTTCCTCTCTTCCTGCACTGTTCTGAACTTCATCCACCTCCCCAGCTCCACGCTGCCTCTTGGCTGATGCTTTTTTCCGAAAGCAAAGCAGGATCACTTATCATGTGGCCGGTTGACCAGCTCTCCGCCCGGTGGCTTCCCCACGCCAGACAGCGCCCTGCATCATGTCCATCGGCCTGTGCATCCGCAGGATGAAGACTTCATGTAGCGGAGACCTAAAAGGATGGCCAAGGTGGCTTTCCACAGATGCACTCCTGCTGAATTTGGTTTTCCCCAAAGATGAGACTGTTGAACGGCGCCGTGCCCCCAGGCGCCAATTTGTCTGCTGTTTGCATTGGCCTGCTCAGCCGCCTGGTGCTTTGGGGTTTAACTTTCTTCTTGGATGAACGTCATGTGACCACAGAAACCTGAACACTTTCTGACTTCCATAACTATTCCCTGTTGTCTGACAAGCTTTTTCCATTTTGTGTTTCCTAATTCTTAGATGGAAGGATTAAAAAATAATTTAAAAGAACAAGATAAAAAAATTGAAGATCTGAAAGAAAAAGTTAACATACTTGAAGCCCAGGTAAGGAGAGAATCTGTTGTATATTTCAGCATGAACGTGACCATGTGTGTGCTTGTGCGTGCTGATGTGCGTGTGTGACGCTGATTACCTCGTAGGTGAATAGGTGTGAGTGTGTGTGTGTGCTCGTGCGTGATGATGTGCCTGTGTGACACTGTCAGATTACGTCTGAAGGTGAATGGGGTGTGAGTGTGTGTTTATATGCACGTCTGAGTGTGTGTATCAGTGTCCTTTTGTGAGTGTGTGTGTGCGCATCTTCTATGCATAAGAAATGATAGTTTTGGGGAGTGGTGCTCTTAATCATGATTAAAGTATCAAGTATTAAACATTGTATGGTATTGTTACAGTATTAACATTACCTATTAATAAATAATTGTTCGAAGTCCCTGCACATGTTCCAGAACTCCTGCTACATTGGGAGGCGGGTGATACGCACTAGAACTAGCAGCTGGGCCATGGCCAGCTCCAGCCGATAGCCTGATTGCTGGCTTCATTCTTCTCAGCACGGAGGTGTCCGTCCCCGTCTTCCTCTGCCTTTGTCCACATCCACGTGGCTTCCAAGCTGTGTCTCAGGAAGCCTCCTCAAAAGCCTCTTATAATTTTCTCATCGCTCAGTGTTTTAAAAGTTAGCATAGGACTTTTTAATTTACTGTACTGAGACGTGTTTTTACGAGCCCACTATCCCCCCTTCACTAGGGAACCCTGTGTGTCCTTCAGCTGGGTGCCCCGCCTCACAGGAAGTGCCCTGAAGCCCCCACTGGGGTCGGGGTACCAGAGGACCCCACAGCTGCCTCGGCTCGACTTCCTGCTCAGGGCCACCCTTCTGTCTTGCCAAATGGCCAGTCACTGACTGCCCAGACCTGGCCCCTTTCCCACTTCAGCCCGCATTTTGACTTCCTGCCTGCGGGCCGGGCCTGGCCCGTGGATACAGAGGCTCCGACCCACTGCGAACCAGGACGGGCCAGAGAGGGGCTGGGTGATGGCACCCCCAGCCACTGCCACTCGTCCTCCCTCCACATGTCCTCTCTGCTTTCCCCAACAGAAGGGGAAAAGTAAGACAGAAAGAGGTTGTCAGTATTTTTAAATCTTAAAATTTCTAACCATTGCCCTGTGCTGCTGTTTCCACCTCCCAGAGGATCCCTGGTCTTCATTCGGGGGGCGGGGAGGGGGGCTCTTCAAGGCCCAGGCTTGCCTTAGACTCTCACCTTCAGGGTACAGGGACCGTCCGTTTGAGAAATACAGTGCTCACAGCTCTGACAGCTAAGTGCTCGGTGGTCGTGGAGTCATTGGCTCAAAACTAGTGTCCACTCAAGTGTCCGCGAGCGCTGGCCACTGCACATCGGGGGGCCTCAGGTGACGTGACTGTGCCCCTTAGAGCCTCCTCCTTCTGAGAGGCGTCTTTAAAGGCATTTCCTTACAGATTTTCTTACGTAGTGGCCTTTTGGCAAATGTTACTTGATGAAATATATTTTTTATATAATTTTTACATGGCTAACATTCATTTATTCAAATTTGGAAATATGGATAAGCAAATATAATTTAAAAAATCATGCAAACACCGTCGGTGGGCAATCACTCAGCATGATTGATAACCAACTGCCTTTAAGTCTTAAAAATCTCTGTGAGGCACGGAGCTGAGTTCTTTACATATTTGTATCTCATTTCAGAACCTGTGAAGAACAGGTTATAATTGTATCTATTACACAGATGAAGAAATTAGGCACAGAGAGATTAAGTAACTGAATAAGGTCACACAGCTAGTGAGTGGGTAATTTCAGATTTATCAGTGACTCTCCACCAGCTACATTCTGTGCCCTGGTAGAGGGACAGGGACAGCAAGCTGACTGCCAAGGAGTGAGGTGGGGTTAATCAGAAGCATGAAGCATGTGGCTGATAAATGTGCTAGTTATGTGATCTCTGCATGTTTTTGTTTGTTTTGTTTTTTCAACTTTAGAACAAAGAACTAAAAACCAAGGTTGCACGTTGGGCTGAAACTCCTAGGACAATGGTCTCGAAGGCCGTCGCTACAAGGTGAAGTGTCTCTTCCCCTACCCCCAGCTGCCTTCACGACCTCCCTTGAGCATTCATGAATGTTGGCATTCATCCCACGGGAGAAAGAGTCCTATGTATTAATACTTATGTAACCATTTGTTTATTGTCTGTTTCCCTGTTCTTCGAGACTAGGAACAGTGTTCATCTGATTCACCACAGAATCCTCAGAGAGATTCAGTGAATACCTACTGAATAAATGAATTAATACGTTTAGGTATCTTTTCCCTCTTCTTTGATATAAAACAAGGCCAATCTGGGCCTCCATACTTTCTCCGAACAAAAGAGATCAGCTCTACTGTCCTTGTCCCCCACCACTACCATGTTCTGTGCCTTCGATGAGCATTTTAATCATACATTGCTTATATGTATTTAAATGTCCACATGTCCACGTCTGTACCCCAAAGCAAAGAGATTGTAAATGTTAAGAGGGCAGGAATTGTTCCTTGTATTTCACTTTATTTCCTCCATTTCAATAACTTCCTAATAACTACCTTGACCAAATCAAGCAACAATAATGACCGTCAAAGTCACTTTCTGGTATTAACAGAATCCAGAGGGACAAGTTGTTAAAAAAGACAACTCTCATTTTCATAATACTTTATGAAATCGTTACTTAAAAGAAAACATAGTCTGTAATTACATGAATGATTTGAAAAGTCTCAGCAGCTTTTGAATGTCCCGGTCTAGTCCCTCGAGGGACGGGAATGGCACTGTGATCAGCGTCAGGCTAGGGATTCAGGCCAACGCCTCTCCCTGTGCAGAACTCCCTGCAGCCCGCTTCCCTCAGCGAATCACATGCAGTTACAGCCCAGAGAGGAAACCAATATGAACCGTCTTCCAAACTCCTCGGGCCCCCAGCTGCCATGTTCCCAGCTCCTTGGCCTCGACCTTGGCGACTTCTCATAAGGAAGAGAAAGCAGCCCCAGCGGTATCAGATGGGGCAGTGAAATGCCCGCCCTTCAGAAGCAATGAGAGTAGTCACTTCGGGGGGGAAGGGTGAAGAACTTAGAATAAAAAGGGGAACATGACTTTCCGAGGGAGGAGAGGATGGTCAATTTTTTGCTCCCTTGTCAGTATCGACGTAAGAAACCTCCAAACCTGCAGAGAATGTTTATGAGTTTATTTGAGCCAAACTGATGACCGTTGCCGGGGAGCAAAATCTCGATGGATTAGGAGAATGCTCTGGAGAATGGCAGTGTCGCCTGTTTTTATACATCAGACTCAAAGGAGATGTAAGGGGTTACATGAAACTCACTGGTGGCAGATGAGGGAGGTGGGAGAAGCAAAGCACGAAATCTCTGAGACTGAGGGAAGAATAAACGGAGACGAACCCTCTTCCATCGGAGGGTACCGGAGAGTTCGCTGACATCCGCAGCCGAGAGGCTGGTCCGGGGCAGAACCAGAGAACAACGAGCGACTCCTCGTCAGGTGCTCTGGTGGGAGAGTGTGCCGAGGGGCCTGGAAAATTATTCTGATGGTCCAAGGGTTTGTTTTTGTAGATGTAGAAAGAGTAGACAGGCTCAATTAGGTAAAGACTGACCTTTGTCAGGGAAGACACCAGCCGAGGACATGACTAACCCCCACGATTTGCTTCTAGTTAAGATTTCATTTCCGATCAACCCATGTGGTTACGTCAGGTCTCTGAGTTTGTAAGGCCTCCAGGCAGACCTCCCCTGAGCTTGTCAGGTTTCCTGGGTGGCCCCCTCCCCACCCACACTGGATAGCATTCCCCAGGGGTGGTGCGGCCTGTGGCCAGCGTCCAGCGCTCTGACCCTGGAGGAACGGAGCAGCCAGAAGGGGGCTGTCTCCTCGTCCGAACTCCTGCGGCCCCGAGTGTGCAGGAACAGAGGGACGTGTTGGAGGGAACGACGTCTACGGCCAATTATACAGCAGCTGCAGCTAATTAATAGCTCAAGCTCCGTTCGTTTTAAAGATTTATTTCCTTCCTACGACATGAGAAAGGTCAGATAGGAACATTTCCTCATTGAGACTGGGAAACCGGACTGACTATGCTGTTTTATGATTTGTTATAGAAATTGCAGTGTTAATGATATGATGTGATGCAGGCTTTCTGGGGGTTCAGAAACCCAAGCGAGGGCTCTTGGCTGCACGCAGGAAAGAATTCAGATTGGAGCCAGCATGGAATTTAAAGGGAAAGTGTATTAGTGAAGCAGTGGAACGGAGAGAAGGCTACTCCGTGGGCAGAGCAGCCCCTCCCTGTGGGATTCACTTCTTTTATAGAGGCTCATTTAATGGAGGGGTAGAACATTAGTAAGGGGGAGGAATGTTCAGGAATATTCTAGAAGGGCTTCATTGGCCATGTTGTGTTCTACATTGCGTCTCTGTTCCCCATCATGGCAGCCTGGAGTGTGTCGTTTAGAATGCTAAGGCGATGCAATGAATATGTAATGAAGCTAGAGGTTACTGCAAGGCAAATCAGCATTGGATAGAGCTGGTTTTCTGCCCATTCTCAGCCATAAATACATGGTCTTACTATTTCCGTGATAGTTCTTGTGTCCCTTATCAGTTACAGCTGCTTCACCCCACACCCCATCTCAATGGTAGGTATCATGTTTGTAAAACAAAATATGGTTAATTGGCTCCTTTGAGAATGTAAGTGGTAGTATAGTTTGCTAAGTCCGGATACACCCCCAGACAATGGGATTACAACTCTAGGGAGAGATTGAGAATAAAAGTAGCCATTAAGGCAAAGGAAGCACATTTAAAAATTAATCTAGGCGAATCTTTTAAATCACCCATAAAATATATTTCCATGCTACCTTGCAGTAACTACCAAAAATCAACTTTTTTCCCTCCTCGAGCATAGGAACATAGAGATGCTTCTTGGGTTGACCACTAGAAGAAGTGGAGATTAGGGGTCGCTAGACAATGACAACAACACACATGTACACAGAGTGTGCATGTACACACAGTGAGGAGAGGTCAGGCTTTGAGAACCCACAGATGTGAAATGTCCTGAGGGAACGGGGGTACGGTGTCTCCCATCTCCAGGGCACTCTTCACTGAATGGAGTGACAGACACATGCTCTACCTCTCATGTCCCCCCACGCTTCCACTCTTGTCCCAGTAAACCCTGTGAATGTGTGTACGCTTTGCTTCCACAAGGTGAGTCTCCCTGTCCCATGGAGAATTGCAATCCATCAATTAACCGCCTCTCTCAGATTAAAGCAATTACTTCTGACGTGGTGGTGGAGGGTCGTGGAGACAGTAATGGTGGAGCGACAGCATTTATATGATTACAGGTTAATGTGCTTGATCTTGATGACTGTGTGGTCTTTTCCACAGTGAACTGAAGACGGAAGCCTCGACCCCCTATGTGATGCTGGTTAGGCTACGGAGATGAGCTGGCTGGCTGAAGATCTGAATGCCAAAGACCCCTTTGTGGATCTTATGAATTCCTTGAGACACAGGCTAAACTTCATGTTAAAATGGCTCAATGCCAGTATTTAATGGAAATCATCATACATCTACAGCTTTGCAAGAAGATGACATTCCAGAAAATCAAACAAACATATGTCTGAAGGAAGGAACTCTTTCTTCAAAACTTCATGGGTAAAGAAACCAGGAGCTTCCCCACGATGGAATATGTATTCTGCTTTAAAGTTTTAAAAAACCTGAACCTTTTTTGCAGGTTTCTGCTGAAGGGAGTGATTTAAGGTTGTCAACTTTGACCTTTGATAGTGGTTTTTATTTACATGAGTAGAAGAAAGAGTGTATATGTGTATGAATAAATGTTATAAAGTTGACTATTGAATAACAAAAAATAACTTACCATGTTATAAGTTAATCTTCTGGCCCATTGTTAGTGGGACAGTATTCTCGACTGAATTATGGGCAGAAGATCCTTTTTTGGGGAATTCTCCCACACACGCAACCCTCCCAGACGGAACCGGGTGGAGCTCGTGACTGCGCCGAGTCAAGCACACTCCACCCCACGGGCCGGCGGACCCACGGACCCCAGGAAGCAGGACGCTCTTTGACTAAGGGACTGATGGGAGCCCCTCATCATCCCGAAGGGTGAACTACTTTAAGCCTCTTGATCATCTCCTCTACTGCAGAACTAGAAACATTTTCTCAGGTGTTGGGGCCCGGGCACCTGGCCTGTTGTTATAGAGGCCGGGGTTCAGGGCCTGACCGCGGAACTGGGTGCGCAGGCGCAGATCACGTTACTGTTATCTAAGCATGATGCAGAAAGTGCTTAGGGCGCATGCGCCCCGCAGTCTCCTGCACCGCCCCCAGCGGAGTGTCCCCACCCCCCACCCCGCCCCGCCCCGCCCGGTCTATAAAAGCCACCAGCTGCATTGAATGAAGCTGCTGCCTTTGTTAACCCCTGTGACGTCGGCACCTTCTTTTCCTTGGGTGTCTCACCACCGAACCCCCCCCACCCCGGGAAACTCCCAGACATGGGGAAAGATGCTTAAAGCCTTTCCATGTGGAATGTGAAATACCAGTATTATCGATGAAATATTAAAAGGTATGAACAGATGCGGTGAAGTGATGTATTTATAAATCATCAAAGTACTGTAACCCTTGAAATGTTGCATAACTGCAGTAGGAGAATTCACTCAGACCACCTGGGTTCCTCCTATCCCTCGATCATCATGCTGGGTTGGAATAAATACAGATTTGTGAATGAACCCATCTTACTGAGGTAACAACCTGGAGGGTTTCCACTAGAACAATGTATTCTAAAGTCAAAAACGGAAAGAGCCCTGGCCACTGTTAGAGCACTGGCCTTCACGCCAAAGGGTCCGGGTTTGATTCCCAGTCAAGGAAACGTAGCTGGGTTGCAGATTCAATCCAGCCCCAGTCAGGGCACGTGCAGACTGAAGTGTTTCCCTCGCATCCATGCATCATGTTTCTCTCTCTCCTCTCTCCCTTCCACTCTCTCTAAAAATCAGTGGAAAAAATATCCTCAGGTGAGGATTAACAACAACAAAAAAATGGAAAGACATGGTTGGATTTTATTTTGGTTTAACTATACTCATGTTTGAACATGGAAGTATAGTTAGTTGGACATAATACAGATAGGACCAGGTTCACTGTGGAATGAATGAATGGTCTTTGGATCTCCTCCATATATGAATAAGCAGGTTCAGTAGCCTAGAAAGATCTGACCTCCTCAAACACAAAAGTGTCTTTTTAGTAGCATCAGCAGCAGCATTTATTTGTCATAGATAGACTATTTCCTGTACCTTTATTATTTTAGCTTTTATCATTTGAAATGTTTTTTAAATAAACATTTCTGAGTCACTGGACAAATGATTACAGTGGAAAAAATTATTAGCCGAAAAGTAGTACTATAAAGAAAAATAAAGTGAACTCAGGGAATCTGGAGTTCCCAGCGGTGGATTGCGATTTCAGTCAGGTGATAATTGCAACTATGGCAACTGTAGCGCAGTCGTGTAAATAGGACAGTCACTTTAAATAAGAACGCGCTCACTATGCTGTACATGGGAAACCAGCAAAGAACAATGTTGAAAGTAAACTGTAACTGAAAAATAAGATAAAAGTAAAAAATATAAAGAATTTAGGAAGTTACAAAGCATCACTTCTGGTACATTAAAAATAAAAACAACTCTCTGTCTGAAGAAAACACTTAAGCAAAGATGGGAAGAAAGAGAAGTGGCCAGGAGGCGCTGTTACTTGGTGGAAGAGAGGTCCTGGTGGAAAGCACTGGTGCACATACTTTGCAGGGTGGGCAGACCAGGTGTGCCCGAAATACTCAAGACATAAGCTGGACTGGCAGGTAAAGACTAAGTTCCGCCCTGGCCAGTTTGGCTCAGCGGTTGGAGCATCGGCCTGTGAACCAGAGAGTCCCGGGTTCGGTTCCTGCTAGGGGCATGTGCAAAAAAAAAATAGAATAAGTTCCAATAGTGTCTAAATCATTTTCCATGCAACATATTCTTTCCTATTTCCTTTTTATAAATCATCCCTTTTATTTGATTAGTAAGTTTTCCCTTCAGTTCTTCTTCAGATGCTGAGCAGTGGTAAACTCACAATTTTTAGGAACCCGTATGCCAATTGCCTTCTTGGTCTGCTTTTCTCTAACACACTGAGTAGTCTGGTTTTGACCACCCTGGAGGACTGGCAAGGAACTGTTCTGGACATTCGGGAGCAAGGTGCTGTGTGTTCATGATGTAGTATACTGACTAGCAGGATGCTAGTCTCTCCTTGTTTCACTTTTTCGTGAGGGTGAATGACCTCATGATGTACATTTCTCTGGGGAATTAATCAGACAGATTGAAGTCTTCTGTTGTTAATCTTGCTGCTGCTTTATTGTTATTATTTTTTAATCTTTTGGTAAAGACAAGTCTTTAGACCTATGAATATGGTCTAAAGCTATGATCATTTCACAAATCTGATTACTATCACCAAATGTTTCTAGTACATATAATATAGCCTTAATCAAATTATAATTCATGTGTTGGCTTCTAATCCATAATGCAAGTGACCTACTTGAGTTGCTAACAGAACAGCAATGCTCATACTCTTATTACGGCTGTTCTTTCTCCACAGGCAGCAATGCAGATTAGAAATAAAAAATCCCTTGGTATGAACAGTGAATGATAATATAATACCCTGTAAACAGTTTTAAAACAAGAAATCCTGCCCAGCCACAGTGGCTCAGTTGGTTGGGTGTCATCCGGTACACTGACAGATTGCTGATTTGGACCCAGTCAGGGCACATGCCAGGGTTGCAGGTTTGATCCCCAGTTAGGGAAAGTATGGACGGCAACTGATGAATGTTCCCCCCGGCCCCCCGCCACATGTCCTCGGGTGAGGATTAAAAATATAAATTAAAATCTAAGGGAATTCCTTCGTAAGTATCCAGCAAACTATGTCACTTTAAATAAACAAACACACATAAACAAACAATCCTATCTGTCCAGACAGTGATGTCGAGGTGGTCTTTTCTTTTTCTTAACATGGGGCAAGTTATGACTATTAAAAAAATCCTATAAAACAATAGAAAAAGCAAGTCTGTAATGACTTATCTGAAAGTATTTAAGATGAAGGCAGGAGCGAAGATTCAGCCTGTGTAAAACAGCATCACTGCCGCCACAGAGGGGCGTGGAGAAAATGGTGCCAAGCATTTATCTGTTGGCAGTGTGAGAGTTGTTTACCTTTAAATTAAAAACGCCTCAATCTTGGCCACGGCTACTGAAGTAACTTATGGAGGGAGAGCAGCTCTGGGAACCAGGCAGCCTTTGTAGATGCACATTTACAAGGAAGCTGCAGCTGTAAGGAAGAACCTTGGACGCATGGAGGGACCCGGAGAGGGTTATGCTAAAGGACATAAGCCAGTCGGAGAAAGGCAAGGATCACATGATCTCACTTATCGGTGGAATCTAATGAACAAAATAAACGGATGAATAAGATAGAAACAGAGACATGGAAGCATGGGACAGACTGAGAAACCTTAGCAGGAAGTGGGGAGAGGGTTGGGAGTGGGGAGAGATTCACCAAAGAACTTACATGCACGTGTGCATGACCCATGGACACAGCCTGTAGGGTGGTGAAGCCTGGGGCAGGCGGGAACAGGAGGAGGGAGACCATGGAGGGGGAGTGGGGGGACCTCTGTAATCCTCTCAACAATAAAGATTTTAAAAATAAATAAATAAAAATTTTTAAAAAAAGAAAGCTGCATCGCCGTGGTCTTGAATTAGCCTTGAACACGGGCCTTCAGCAGCCTGTGACTAAGGAAGATCCCACCGCCTGCCTCTGCCTTTGTTATGGGGAAGAGGTAGGTTATAACAGCTGAAAGTGCTGTCCCATAGACTAGTGCTTCAAAATGGTAAGTGCTCACTTCATAAACGCATCGTTTATTAGAAGCTTTCCCTTGCAAAGCCCAGTCTTTAAATAATCAACGAGAAAGTTCAGAAAGATGGATAAAATCACTTGACTGCGTCATAGTAGATACGTCCTTTTTAAACTGAGCTATAATTGACATATTAATTTCAGGTGGATACCATTTTTAATGTGATGGCAAGTTTCATGTTAATACTCATTTAGTGTCCCCAACCCATCCCACGTTGAACTTGAGCACAGAAATAAGGTCGACTACACAAAATAGTTGATAAAAATGCATTTTTATTTGAAAAGTGTGCAGTAATGATCACTGGATACAGTTCTCAGCTGTGGTATTCGAACCCAGACATCACAAAATCATTGGATGCTATGATTTTTAAAGTCACTGGGACTTTGGTACAACCAAATAATGACCTAATAGTGTCTATCAAGCACCACAGTCTACTCGGGGGCATAGACAAAAAACTCTATGTTTGAAGTTTGAAGTTACATTCATAGCACTAGACAAAACAGAGGTCTGTGAAGATGACAGACGAAACAATCAAACGTGCTTAGCTTAAAAATGAGGACCAGATCACTCAAAGGCAGACCGTTGGGGTACACTGAAGCACATCAATGTTATGTCAGAACAGTGTCTACTTTTAACATGTTAAGCAGGATAACTTTTCTTAAATAATTTCAAATACAATCAGTATCTTTTACAAGGCCATGAACGCAAAAGCCCTATTTGTACAAGGAGGATGCTGACCAAGTTGTAATATACTACCTAGAATATAACTGGACTCTTTATAAGAAATACAAAATGACATACAAAATGAAATAGGACTCTTTTATTTTTTTCAGTACCTTGAGATATACTAAACATTTTCAATCAAATACAGTGACCTCAAGTTGACTACCTACCCATTAGTAGCTTCCAATACATCTACTGAAATTTGTTGTGTCCCTGCTATGACACTTTTTGTTACAAGTGGTTTAAATTATGACTGTGATATTTTATTAGTTCTTAGTTTGCAATGATTAGTCTGTTTATGAAATGAAACATAACATACAAATCAATTTATTATATATGTTTATTATTGAACCTGACAGAAACCCTGTGGGACATACAGGGGGTTAAAGTCCCGCATGAGGAGAAACCACTATGATATTTAATAGCACACATGTGGTCCCCAACTTGTTCCTTCTGGACACATTCTTGTTCTACAACAATAGGCTTCCTTTCAAAGAGCATTTGAAAAAAATAGCCTGTAGAATAGATTATGGAAAAGCATATGTTCTCACGCATTGCTAGGGACACTATTTTGATGTGCCAACAGACATAAAGACAACAGCCACTGGTTAAGTAAGGGACCCATTGGGTCAAGGACAGACATACCAGCTCCTACACAATTTGCTAAAGACCCTTAAAGACTAAGTCAACTGAGGGATGTAAGCCATGCCTTCCACCGTTCTGTGGGGAAAAAAAAGAACTGGAAAACATTTAAATGACTCAATTCAAAGATGATTCATTTGTGTGTTTTCTTCTTCAAAAGATGACTCCCTTTAAACTAATCCCACTCTTTGGCACTGTTTTTTCTTCTCTCTCTACATGATGTTAGGAAATCTCTCAAGCCCAGGCTGCTGATTAGAGAGAGCGCTGCAGGAAAGTGTCTTTGCGATGCTTTTACGAGAAAATGAGACTCAGATAAATAAAATGTTTGTAAGTCTCCAAAATTTTGATACTAAATAATGGAATATTTTTAGCTTAAATATTTTTTTTAATTTTTTAATTTTTTTTATCCTCACCCGAGGATATTTTTCCATTTTTTGTACAGATAGAGTGGGAGGGAGAGAGAGAGAGAAACATCGACGTGAAGGGATACATCGAGTGGCTGCCACCCGCACGACCAACCAGGGCCGGGGACAAACTGCAACCGAAGCACGTGCCCCTAGCGGGAACCGAACCCGGGTCTCTCCGGACCGCAGGCCGACGCTCTAACCGCTGAGCCAAACTGGCCAGGGCTTTAGCTTAAATATTTTTATTAGCTTAGTTCAAAGGATATAACTCTCTACTTAATAGATAAAAATGATGGATAAATATCTAGTTACAAAAACTCTGTTACTCTTTATTATTATTATTTTTCCTACCTAAAAATCAGCCTGGTGTGAACTTCTCCATGTCCTGCCGTATTTAAGAACTCTATGCAGACAACTTTTAACTCTAATCTCTCTCTATAACCCTTGCTCACCAATGTCATTGTGGTTGGGTCTCCACTCAAGAAGTCTAAGGTAGTACGTTATAAAACTCCCTATATATCTAACAATAATTTTTATCAGTTCTACTTTATAAAACAAGTATTTTCCTAGATGTATAAAGCTTTGAGACAATGCTCATCTCAGATAATATTCTTTATCTACTTCCCATGGTAAGAGCTCAGCACTCTCTCCAGAAATAAGTTAATATCATCTTGGTCAAAAATCAAGAAAAAAATATATAGCTTTTGGTGACATTTTAGACAACCTTTTCAAATATAGACATCATCTTGGCATCTTTAAAAATAATAAAGCTTTTCTTAAAATACTTAAATATTCTAAACTTCTCTTAATACTTAAAGCTAGGCAAAAGAAGATGACAGTCAACATTTTAAAGTCACTTTGGTTAATATCAGCTCTCAGAATGTCCTTTTAAAGAGTTAGTCAGTATCTTAGGAAACAGCAACTTCAATGTTCCCTCTTTAAAGTTTGAGTTTTAAACTCCAAAATTCTTTATAGTTGGGAATTTTCCCTCAATCGTGTTGGTGTGATGCCCCATGAGGAAAGCTATGTTCTCCACTCCCCTTTTTATTCAGGTGAACAGAGAAATAGAGCAGTAAACACTCTTATTTCATAGACACACTTTATCTGTTATACATATTCCTTTTCTTTCTAACTGCTGCGCTCACTCAATTGGTGAAAACATATGTGAGTTTCATCAAATTTGTTGATTTCCAGTGGACTCAATTTACAGTTTAAAAAATAGTTGGCTATTATGAAATTATTCTGTAAATATAGTTATGTCCTTCCCTATGGTCAAGCCTTTCTCTCTTATAAAAGCTGACTACAACTCTTGCCCAGTTGGTCCGACCTGGGCTGATGGGCAGAGGATGGCTTACACGAGAAGCATAGGAAAGACACCCCTGGTACAAAGAATGGCCCTTCTGGTTAAATACAACATTTACTTTAGAAAGTGCTGGCTTTGAATTTTTTTGCAGTGTGATAGCTGATAATATGGAAGTGGTTAAAACCCGGCTAGAGTGGGACTGGTAAGAATCCTGAAACACTTATGTACAGACCCACATGCTCGATTCCCAGCATTAAATATTTCCTCTGCTGATTCGTGACCTGTCACCCTCATCATATCAAGACAAACGTTGGGTTCTCTCAACTATTTTTGATACATTTTCAAAGAGTTTTCTTTTTTTTAACCTGGAAAGGTAACCTAATCAGCTAAGACCCTCAAGCAATGCTCGCTCCATGGGAAGTGAGCTAGGAGACCAGACGGTGATGATGTGATCTCCAGCTTCCCATAATGCCCTTGAACCCTCTGCTGAAGACATCAGAGACCTTTAGCTGTGTTACTGTCTCCTTGAGACCTTCCTATGACATGACACTCTAGGAAATGAGCTTTATGGTTAGAGACAAATTTGGTCCCAGAGGTATCCGAGGCACTGTTAGCGAATGTAAACATCAAGCAGAGTAAACACCCCAGAAATGGTTTCTATACCGAAAGGAATTTCATGTGCACTTTAAATATTTTCCAAAATACAATTTGGTTGACTAGAGCATTTGGGAAATAATTAGTAACTGGACTCAGCTTTAAAAATCATGTTGTGGGTTATAGGGACAATGTAATTCTTTAAAGAAGTCTGTATACTTAGGGCTCTCCACCAATTGAAGGTTGTAAAATAGATAATACAGAATAATTAATTATGAAATAACGAGTAAAGGAATTTCTATTAATGTTTACATAGAATTTGGTTGGGGTCAGCTGTCAAACTTGACAGAAAATATTTTTTAGATCAAGTTTTTATAAGTAGAATACTATTATAAATTAATTTTCTTGACTGTTTTAAGTTTGGATGTTCTTGAGATGATTACCCAATAATAGTTACTTTTCCAGGCGGAGTTCTAAAATTATGGGCATCATCACCCTCTGCTTCACACTGCAACTATCAAATGACGATCTTAAAATAGACCCGGAATAAATGCTTCTTAAATAACTGACAATGACAGACACTTGGCACAAGTAAATCAATCATATAACTGGAAAATAAAAAGAAACAAAAAGACATATCCAAAATAGAATACTTTTAGTATTTTATAAAGGCTGAACACTCCCTATTACGGAAATGCAGGGGATATCACAATTTGGATTCAAATAAAAAATTGATATAATGACCTCAAAAGTTCACCAAATTTTGCTACAGCAACAGTTGAATTGTTTCTGTTCACTTTTCTTCCAACAGAATCATCTTTCAAGTTGGCTAATAGCTTTCCATCCTCATGGTGCAGGTCCTGGCGTCATGGAGAGCATCATGGAGAAAAACACCATTGGAGGGAACACCCAAGCGTGACCCACCTTAGCAGCTGGCATTGGGCTGCAGAAGAAAGAACTGGGCAGTACACACCGCGCACTTCACAAGGGGCCAGCCCATCAGAGCTTCCAGATTGCTTTGATTCTTGGCACATCTCTGGGTCTGGTCCACACTGAGAACATTATAAATCGACATTCCCTTGGATCTGTGTTCCTAAAACTCATTTGGTACCAGACGGAGGTTGGTAGGCAGAGGTTAAGGGGTGGGGGTGGGGGAGCTGGGTTTAGAGTTCCCAGTGTCTGTAACTTAACACAATAAATATGCACTGAGTTGGAAAACTGAAGTTTAATTGGCAAAGTGGTATAGTAAGAGGACCCATTCTGCTGGAAAATCATATACTCATAATGAAAAGAGGAAACTTGAAGTGCAATGCCTTTCTTATTGATAAAATTCACTGAAATAGTTCAATAATGGCTTAATAGGAGTTGATTATGTTAGTTTAGACACAACGCTAAGAACAGGCCAATGGAAAATACTTTTGAGAATCATCTTTGGAAAGAAAAAGCAGCTTCTTGTGAAAAATAAAGTAATTAACCAATTTTTGGTGAAATAAGATACAGTTTCATTCCTACCTAACCCCCAACTATATTTTGCCTTAGGAAAAATAAAAACAAATGCTAAATATATTGTAATATGGCATGAGCTATCATCAATTTTTATGTGGTTAATGACATCATCAGAATGACCATAAAATTGATCCATGATTATTCGGAAGTTGCTTGTCTACAAAGTGGCATACATGTATTTTCACAACTGATTCAAAGCCAGGGGCAGTTCTGGGTTACAGGGGGAACATGTGGTTTAGAGTGTCCAGTGCCTTTGTAAACTGAAAAGAAACCCACAATTAATTGTCACCCTTGGTGTCACATCGCCAGCATGTTTATCTAAGAGAAATTAAGGGGAAATAGTTCTTTTTGACTGTGTTTTTGAAAGAGGTATTTAATCAACAGCCCTCTTCAATTTGTCCTTGGGACTATTTATCACCACTTGCTAAGAAAAATGAAATGTGAAGCCAAACCCTGAATCTATTTCTAAAATTTCACTTAAAATAGAAACCTCTGGGTCGTCTCTTAATCCCAACTGATAATGTCAACTTCTAATTGGCCGGAGTGAACGTTAGCTAAGTGACTCCCCAGACATCTGTAGCAGATACATTCCATGTCCCTTGTCCCAGTGCTGGGCTCCCATATGTTCATTTTCCCCCCAGGCATTTCTCTTGTGTGCTGTCATTCACAATCTTGTTCTTGTCTATCTGCCATTTATTAAGAATATGAACATGGCATTATTACACCACCTCCTACATTTCAGCAGAAGTCTGACATGTATCCTCTTACAACCCCATCACTAATTTAGTCATTCTAGTACAGCTTATTGGATGTACAGAGTAATGTCATTCTCAATGATCCACTTACAATTCTTGATTGTGTATCCATTTGTAACTGTTCCCCCAAAGCAAATCTAAAAGTAATAATCAGATTCTACATAAGAAGTAAACCCAATCCTTAAAAAAAAAAAAAAAAAATCACCTTCCTATGTTCTCTTTTTGGTAGCCTATCCCTTTCTCCAATGTGGACAGGGTGATTTCTGTTCTGATGGAAAACTCAGTTATTTCATCTTATGCACTTGTCTTCTGTATGAGAAACTGGGCCTCCTTGACGGCTGAGGTCACACTGGGAAATCTTTTATCTTGTTCGAAGGGCCTCAGGAACAACTGGTCAATTCTTTTGGATACTGTTGACCCTTCGGGTTTCTGAAAATAGATTTTCTGACAGAAAAAGAAAGACATGCCGTTATGCGTGGTTTGTCGCCGTGGGGGGAAGTCACAGTTGGGCGGGGATCTTGGTGCCGAGTTCCTGTCGGAGTCTAGCAGGCGCACTTCTTCCCTGCCGGACTCTCCCCGTCCAGCTTCCCCGAGGTCCCATTGGCCGCCTCGGGGACTTGCGTCTTCTCTACACACTGTTCCATTCGCTTCATTATCAAGTCCAGGAGGGTTTCCACGGCTTTCTCCACGTTCTGGCCGGTCGCTGCACTTGTTTCGAAATACGGTATGCTAGCGTGGAAGAGAGGACAACCATTACCGAGGGAAAGAAATCAGAAAGGATGCGACGAGATGTGCGAATGGAGCGCACAGGTGAGAATCCGGCGGACAGAGACTGTGCGATAATCCTGGTTTCGCTGGCTCACTTGGAGAGCATCCTTGTTCTCCGTGAGTAAACACTGGTGAGCTGCTCATTAGTGTCAGTGTAACCAGCACTATGAGCATGGAAACTGACACCGGAGGTACTCAGGAATTTGAAGTCAAGACACTATAACTATTTTTATTTTTTATTTTAAGAGGCTATAAATGCCTAAATTAATGATCAATGTTACTTCCCTTCTGATCAATTATCTAGAAATCTGATTTAGAAATTAAATAGGCACTGAATAGGAGATTCATGTGAATACAGTCTATACTGATTTGGAATCAAAAGTTTCAAGAATACATGTACATTTTTAATGCTCTCAAGGAGAATCCAAAAAATTGGCAGATATGACGAAACTGCCTTAAATTTAAAAAGTAATGATAACGTCTGATTTGGAAGTCCATTTATAATTGCATGAGAGAGTTTACAATTCTTAATCTGCCATTTAAACTCACCTAGGATACAGTTTGCAATCTTATGTCCACACCAGGTATTATTACCTTTAGAGGTTTGCAGCTATTCATTGAGAGGCAACAGTAGCGAGTCATGTTGAAGAGATCTCATCCCAGACTGCCTGGGTTCAAGTCAAGCCACTTACCAGCTATATGGCCTCCCCTCAGTTATTCATCTCTCCATGCCTCAATTCTTCACATATAAAACGGGATAACTCTAGATCTTCTACATACGGTTATAAGGGGTTGAATGAGTTCAAGTCTAGGAATAGTTGCTAGCACTTAATAAGTATTCAGTAAATGTTAGCTGCTGTTATTACTGAGTCATTGATTTAAAACATCACATGCATTCCTCCGGAAGATCTTTTTCATTCATGGGCTGTTCTTGATTCAAGGAGATTCCTCCCAGTCTGAACCATGCACCTGCCCCATCACTAAGCAGCAGTGAGCAGCCAGATGGCACCGCCATGTAACCGACTTACCCGTATTTGTCAGCCAGGTCCCGGGCTTGCCGTTCGTTGACTTCCCTTTGGTCTGGCAGGTCTGCCTTGTTGCCAATTAATACTATATCTGGATTTTCACAATAAGCATTTGCTTGCAGTTGGCCTTAGAAAGAAAGCAGATGGAACCAGCAAGCTAGTTACAAACAAATGATGTCAAATGACTGCTCATATCAGATTCCTAATCCAATTGTTCATCTCCAGCTTTCAATGTTATATCAGGCAAATTACTAACCTCTTCTCAACCGCACTTTCCCCATCTGTAAAATGGAGATAATGCCTCACAAACTGCACATTGTGGAGATTAATAATAATGTGCATGGTCCAGCCGGTGTGGTTGAGCATCGACCCATGCACCAAGAGGTTGCTGGTTCGATTCCCGGTCAGGGCACATGCCCAGGTTGTGGGCCCGATCCCCAGTGAGGGGCATGCAGGAGGTGGCCAATCGATGTTCTCTCTCATCAATGTTTCTATCTCTCTCTCCCTGTCTAAAAAAAAAACAATAAAGGAAAAATTTTTTTAAAAGAATAATAATGTACACGAAGCCCCTGTATGAGCACTGTGAGTGCTTCTCCACCGGGGAGGTGCCCTCTATATGGAAACACTGCTTCATAGCACTTGGTCCTCAAACGTAAGTGGACGAAATAGAGCATGACTTTAACACAGAACTGTGTTCCTTCCTTTGGGCACCTGCTCCATTTCCTTCCCCTGGAGGTCCAAGGTGAGGATCTATGAAAGTGGAACATTTCTGAGCCACCACAAATTCATGTAAAAACAATGTTAAGACAGGAAACTTGTTTTTTCTCTTCTCCAGGAAACACTGTGTGTGTACTTTCAACTTCATGTTATATCTAAGTTGTATAGGTGTTCTACACAGGCTTGCTCATATTTGACTATTTTTTTGAAAAAATACATAAAAGGTAAGTGTCCAGGTGAGCTGCTGACCGACACACTGTACTTACCCTCTCATGGCTGCCCTGCGCCCACCAGACCCTCCCTGGGGTGAAGCAGCCCACGGCTCAGCCCCAGTGCAGGGAGCACACTTGGGGTGCCAGGTGCCCTCCCAGAGAACACAGCTGTTTCTCTGGGGCCTCTCTCAGGCAGATGAGGATGCTTGCTTAGTTCTAAGAAGCCCTTTAAGACTAACTGGACAGCCCTGGCTGGTTTGGCTCAGCGGTTGGAGCGTCGGCCTGTGGACCAGAGAGTCCGGGTTCGGTTCCTGCTAGGGGCACGTACCAAAAAAAAAAAAAGAAAGAAAGAAAAAGACTAACTGGACAAATGACAAATGGAATGAGTGGCCTTATGATTGCAAAGATTAAAACCTTAAATCTAGTTTTGCTCAGTGGTTAGAGCATCGGCCCTCAGACCAAAGAGTTACAGGTTCGATTCCCCGTCAAGGGGCATACATAGCTCCCGGCCTGGTTGGGGTTGTGCGAGAGGCAACCAATGGATTCTCTCTCTCACATCGATGTCTCTCTCTCTCCCCCCCTCTACTCCCTCCCATTGTCTCTCTAAAACACAAATCAATGGGTGAGGAGAAATAAATAAATACCTTAAATCTAGATGGACACGAAGCCACATGGGCTTCTTCTAAGAGAGTCAAAGGAAAACACAGTTCCAGGCCACCATGGGTGATGCACAGAAAGGCCACCCCTTTGGAGGTGACACAGGGAACACTGAACTCCTGACTTCCCAAGGTTAATCTTTTGTCTCGCGAGGCAAACAAGCAAAGAGAGCTCTTGGGTCACAAAGTGGCCAACACAGGTCACTGGGTTCCACTTACTCATCCAGTTCCTGACATTTAAGAAGCTCTGTTGACTGGTAAGATCAAACATCAGTAAGAAACCCATGGCATCTCTGAAAAATGCGGTTGTGAGGCTCCGGAATCTGCCGAGAAAGCACAGAGGGGAGACCTGGAAGTTAGTCCTCGGACACCGTGGTGACACACAAACATGCTTCCCTTTGCAGTAGGAAATGCCATGGCAGCCTAGGGTTATCCTACAGCACGGGGATCACTCAGAAAGACGGCTGAAGGGCCAGGGAAGACCTGGCGGCAGATCCTTTTTCAGACCACGCCTGGTTTCATGGTCCATGGCCCTTACGCACTATGGATTTGTAACATTCAATCACACACTTGCTTACACAGCCCCTTGGACTGTTGGCTCAAGGGCCTCCTATGGTCCACAACGAACATGTAGGCCACTGTATTATATCGAGACTTTAACTTATACTTTTCAGTCCTTCTTTTCTATGCCCAGAAGAATGTTTGGCACACAGTAGCCTGAAAATGAGTGCTCATGGTTGCATGCAGAAAACCACAACTTGTTAACAGCTGGAACAAGGTTCTTTCGTAGGGAAAATAATGCTGGTGAGAAAACTCCTTGTAAGCACTCTTTGGAGTTAGAGTGGCATCCATGTCTCATGGGGAAGAGGGAAGACAGGGAAAAAGAGGAATATGATTATAAGAACCGAGGGAAGATCAGAGACTCAGTCATTGGGAGAAAAAGCAAGAACACTCATCTCTGTTGGAGGGTTTTGAAGAATGCACTGTCGAGGGCAGTGTAAAGACCTCTCTCCCCTGCTCCTGCCCCTCCCCTGCAGCATCCTCAGTGAAGGGGACAGGGTGCTGAGACTCACTTCAAGGTCAGGAATGGATGAAACCAGAGACCACATAAATAGACCAGAGAAGGTTAGGTTATACCAAACAGAGGTGCCTTCAGCTGTAGGTTTTTAGAAGGACGCATGAGTTTGAAATTAAGAAGAATATCACTTCCTATCCTAAATGTCCTCATTTTTGGTGCCTTATTTTAGCCTATTTGTAGATTCTTTGGTTTCCTAGAGGTTCTATTCTCAACCTCATCTTTCTCTACACACATTCACTGGGTAATCTGATTCACTTTCTGGCTCCATTATCACCAATATATTGAATCGCAAATGCATACATCTAGCTCTTTCCTGCCTTCGTACTGGGTGCCCAGTTACTTGTTGGGTGTTTCACTTGGAGGAAACTAATATATCTCCACCTCCACTTGTCCAAAACCAAACTGGCCTTTGCTCCCGATTTTCTCTTCTGTCAATGGTATCACCTTCCTCCTGGTTGCTATACCCTCTTTTTCCTTCACCTGCTGTATTCAATCAGCAAATGTGTCCTCGCCATCGCCTCCCTGTCCATCCACCTTGCCACACCACTCTAGTCTCCAACACGCTGCCTTTCACCTGGGCCACTTCAACAGCCTGCTCAACAGGCTTTCCTTTTTGTTTGGGGCCCTTCCCTTCCCGGGTTTGTTTCCTGTGGTTATATAAACCTTCTGCTAAAAGACATTTTAATGATGATGTAATTCTCTTAGGATAATGACTGAGCTCTTTAAGAAACTGTCAAGGCTCTGCGTGAACTGACCCTCGCTCATCTAGCCAGATCCATCTCCGGACCACCCGCAGGCGTGCCGATCTTCTTTTAGTTCTTAGAAAGTTCACTGTCTCCCCTGGGCTTTCGCACATGCTGTTCTTCCTGGGTAACCTCTCCTCAACGCTTCCTTCACCTCCTGCCCCGCGAGCCTTCCTTCACCTCCTCCCTCACACATTGTGGATGAGTGCATACAACGATGTCTGAGAAAATATCACTTCCCCAAGTGGTCTTCCCAACACCCTCATCTGGATGATGGGCTCCTTCTGTACACCAACCTGTTATCCTTTGTTTTCCTGTCACTGTTCTGAGGCTATATTGCAATTGTTATTTGTCCAAATTCCACCCTAAACTGTAATCTCTACGAGCAAAGGAGCCGTGTTTCTAACTGGCTGTGCATTATGTTTCCATGGCCCTGAACATTAGTATTTGCTCACTAAGGTATGTCAAATTAAGAGAAAGAAATAGAGGATAACACTATAAAATTAGTAAAGACTTAAATGACTTTAATAAAGAACAATACTTCTAATACTAAAGCAAGGAAAAGAGATATTTTAATGACTATTCATGTCCAAATTGGGATATTTTTGGTAAGACATAATCATCACAATTATGAAACACCAAAAATTGTACTCTGTTTTTTCTTGTGGATTTGTTCCTACCAGTGACTGGAAACTCACAGAGATTATAGTAATTTTATTGAATGAATCCCTGTCTTTGGGGATGAGCTGTACCCATAAAATTGGCAAATTGTAAAATCTCAAAATTGCCTTCTACTCAACCACAATAGTATTGCTAACTCAACCACAGCCGCCTGTTCACTCCTCTCTCCCCGAGCCCGTGTGTGCGTGTGCATGTACGTGTGTGTGCGTGTGTGCGTGTGTGTGTGTGTGTGCGGTGTTATGTGAGGATAGGACTGTGCCTTATCCCCCTCTCACTGCCCACAACACACGACAAAGTTGCTCACATGCTTGTTGTTGCATGGGTCTGACTGGGACACATACTTTTGCATCCACAGCAACACAGAAAGAATATTCTTCGTCTGGACACGGCTCGTCCCCTGGACCATCCTTCCCCAGGACCCTTGTTATCCTCCCGTCTTTCCAAGACTTATTCCAGAGGGAAGGTAACTGATTTCCAGCTTCACCTACCAACCTCATTCTGTCCGTAGGAGAAAGCTTGACCCCATAAAAAAAGAACAGTTGCCGGGCGCACGCTATCATTCTCCCTCACTGGGAATGAAGGCTGTGACCTTTGGGCTTACACAAGGGGTATTATCTTTTCCCTCCTTTCCATAATATCACTTTCATCAATAACCATTATCTTATATGGCTCATGCTGCCAGGTGTCTGAGCACAGGGTGGAGATGTGTTTATCTTGTTGCTTAGATACACCTTATACTGACAAAATGCAAAATTCCCAGGGGATGAATAACCCCACTGTTACCAAGACTGCCCCTGGCTCCCCGTTTCCCTCACGGGCTGTCTGAAGGGGACAGATGAGAGAAGCCTGCCATCGTGCTAGGCTGACATATCATGTGCCAAGACATATGGGAACCACATTTTCTCATATTACTTCTTCAGATTCGAATCACATTGGTCTACAAAACATACATCTTTGTGACAACCAAACTGACATATGAACAGAGAGGCTTGCGAGGAATGACTCCAGCAGCACCAGCAGTGTTGAAGGATGTGTGTAAATGGAATTCACAGTCAAAAAAGCTAACAGAGAGGGCCCGGCACCTCTCCTGGCGTTTACACGCGTGAGAGCGAGAAGGCTCTTGGACGCATTTCAAACGCTGCAGTGTTTACAAGCGTAAACATTCTCAGACACGCGGTGCCGAATGCGGAGGTACGTGCCTTCGAAATATCTTATCTTGACAATTGACTGCCAATTTTTATTGAATCTAATATCGAAGAGCTTCACCAGCTCAGGGTCTTTAGCACGTTGGGAATCTTGTATCTCAGAGGATCACGTTGTCATCAAATAATGGGTGCACACCTGCAGCTCTAAGCCAGCAGCACTACTGTCCGCTGAGGGGCTCTTATGTCGGACGTTGCACCAGAGGTAACACTGAAAAGCCTCGTCTCTGCCCTTACGAATCTGACAGCACTGTTGGGTGACAAGGCTACGAGTGAATCAGAGAAGAGCAGATAGAAAATGTGCTTTATCACAGGGGGTAAACACTTGATTGATGGGAGGTGGGCAGAGTAGGTGTTGGAGGAGTGCAGGAGGGAGAGGCAGCATCTTTCATCCGGGTGATCAGAAAGTCCTCAGAGGAGGTGGCCTCCAAGCCGGGCTGGCGACAGGACAGGGCAGGGAAGGTGGGACAGGAGGAAAACGTCCCCCCTGGAAGACAGTGTCGTACGCAAGGTCCCAGAGAACAGAGCTAGTCAGACGGCCCAGGACAGAGAGGCTCAGAGGAAGAACAGAGGGGAGAGAGGAGACACATCTGAACACCTTCCTTCCCCTCCCCCTCCAAGCTGTACTCATCACAGTGCTCACTTCCCACCTTCATTCAGGGGAGTCCTGGAGAAGTTTTTTCATGTCTCCCCATTCTAGCATAACAAGAATCTTCACAGAGGTTTTTGAAAATCTGATTTTTGAAATCTGAACCAAACCCACCATGCTCGTTACGGTTAACCAACTACCAATCACGCCTTTTTATTTCTCAACACAAAAGTCTGTTTTGGAACCAGGGGAAGAGTCGCATAGAATGCGGTTTTCACGTTGACCTACAGCCTTCGCTTGGAAATAAGTCTTTTCCTGTATGCCTGAAACCAGTATCGAGTAATACTGAAAGTAAACTAAAACTTAAGAAAATAATACATAGTAAAACAAAAGACGTTTCTTCCTGAGCTCTGTGGTGAGAAACAAAGTAGGTCACGGTTACCGCTCCTGTCCTGCAGTGTCCCAGAGTTGGAGGTGCACCTTGGACGCCTTCCCTGCTGATCCATTCGGCCCGTGCGTGTTACACACCTGCAAGACAGGGTTGCGTCAGTTTCTACCGCTTGGGTTTTGTCAACATTCGGATTCTCTGGGCTCCCTCGCCAGGCTCTTCTCAATGACTATCATCGGAGTTCCGAGTACAGGGTAAATATTTGCTGTTTCTTCCCCCCAGAAGTATCACACAGACTCTCACTTTTAAATGTCAAGTACGAGTATGATTTCCCACACAGTCTCGGCATACTGCAGACTTCAGTCACACACCTCCTGTCATGTCTTCCCAGAGAGCAGCCAACGTTGCATGTAGGACCTGAGCTCCAGGTTCAAGTGTCGGCTCTTCATGCAACCTCTCTGACCCTCATTTCCTTCCCTGGAAACGGAGAGCCATAGCTCTCCGGCTTCACAGAGTTCCTGGGAACTCAAACGGAATCACGAAAGTGAAGGCGGTTTGCAAACAGGAAAGTGCGTTGCGAACACTGGAGTGTCTTTTACTGGGCGCCGCACTTTCGAAACGACTTAGCCAGGCCATGTGCACAGAATTTCTCAGTAAGTTTACTCAGACTACGTCAAGTCTCCTTTTCTTAGCTGTTTTTCCCATAGCTTTTTTTCAGAAAAGTGTAAAAATGTTAAATGATGGTCTTTTGACTTCTTATTAAGCAAGGCATACCCATTTTAGTATTGCATCAGCCCCTGTGAGTGTTGCTCAGTGAGGACGTTGTATAGGGAAAGCCATGGACTTCTACCTAGATCGGGGGCACTCGGGCCAGGAGGGGTCCAGGAAAACCCTGCGGGGTGGAGCAGGTTTGCTAAGACTAAGCCACAGTGTTTCATCTTTCAGATAAGGCCCAGGACATTACAAGAAACCATAATTCGGCTTCCCAACCATCATTTCCTTTGTTGTTGTTTTGCTCAGTTCTCGGGGAATGAATGGGCTGTGACTTCGCCTGGCAAGGAAGACTACCGTCGGTGGCCGTGCATCTTGCAAGGCTTCCGCGCCTATGCTACGTGTCGCACGTGTCACAATATCTTTATTCCTGTCATTAGCGTCTAGCATGGGAGAAGGACGTGGTTGCGATTCTCACTTAAACGCCCTTATCTTGGAAAATAGCGAGGATTGGTCTCACATTCTGTTCGTAACCAGCTAGTGATTGATGGCTGAGTCGACACATAAATAAAAATGCAGCAGGAACTTATAAGGCTCATGTTCCAGCTATTTGCCAATCACTCTTCTGACGTCTTTCTGAAGACTAGGAAATGAACACTTGTTCTTAGTGAGGAATTTAGCTCAGATTAAGAGTTAATGTTTTTAGATCCTGAATAACTCAAGTTTTGAAAGATTCCTTATGAATTCATAGAAAACACACTATATAAATCCATAAATGATTTCTGTCAGGTGCCCTGCATACTTTTGGAGACAATCAATAGTGTCACTTGACGTTTTTCTATACACAATGTTATTTATAGTTGAGGGAGTAGAAAGTAATATAAATTAAAGTGGCAGGTTATAAATTTCATGTGATAAAAGGCAGATGCCTTGAATTCAATAAACAGCTTCTTAATTCTTATTTTATCTGGGGGGATCAGTAATAAGTTTAACAGTAGGAGGAAGAACTCACCACACGTTTTTCCCGAAAGTCTATTCCTACTGTTGTGATGAACTTGGGATTGAATTTATTGTCTGTGTATCGATAAAGAAACGTCGTCTTTCCCACCCCTGAATCTCCGAGGGCCAGGAGTTTGATCAGATAGTCATAGTCCCCATCGGTCATAGTGATGGTCTTGTTGGTCCTGCAGAGAGAGGAATAATAGTTTGTTACAATGAAGGCTGACTTTCCTTTGCAGTCTTCAAAACACAACATAAATTTAGGTTTCAAGGTTAAGACATTGGAATGCCTCCCTTCTGCCAAACTCTCAATTCGCTTGTTCTGAGCAGCTTCAGGAGTAAGGGCACATCTACTCTTGTAGTCAGTACAAATCTTTCTTTGCATCAGGTCAGTTAACATGGAACAAAAGCTGTACGATATTCGTAATAGGCTTTGCCACAGCAATAGTAGAACTTAAAGAGTCATAACCTTTTTTAAAAAATCCGTACCCGAGTACATGTTTATTGGTTTGAGGGGGAGAGAGAGAGAGAGAGAGAGAGAGAGAGAGAGAGAGAGAGAGACATCAATTGGTTTCTTGCCTCCCTTACTCACCCCAACAACCAGGGACTGAATGCACAACCTAGATATGAGCCCTGCCGTGGAATCAAACCCGCAGCCCTTTGGTGTATAGAATGATGCCCCAACCAACTGAGCCACACTGGCCAGGGTCATAACTTTGTGTTTTAAAGCAACTGCCCTTTGGGGTCAGGAGTACGGTTGCTGGGAAGAGGGGAGGGAACAGAAAAACCCAGCCGGGATGACGCAGGCATAGAGAGAGCGGGAATCACGTACGGCTGTGGAAGAGTGAAGCCCCGGGGATTGTGTTGCATCTAATCATAGAGAGTGAGCTTCCTATCATGTGCCAACAAAATAGTCCTTTTCAATTTAAAAAATGTAACAACTGGTATGGCAACCTTCGAAAACACTGATTTTAAGTCATTTTAAAAGCAATGTTGAAAAAGCCTCTGTTCGTTAATGGCAAAACTGTTCTTTTTGGTAAGTCTGCTCAATGATCTCCAGGCCTTATAAAAGAGGAAGAGATATTAAGAGGCATAATTATGGTAATTCCAAGAATATTTCTCCTGACCAAAGGCCCGATGTCACTTGCCATTTCTTTCAGTGCCCTAACCTCTCTGCCTCAATCTTACTTTTTCTATTGTGACAGTGACTATGAGTGACGATGGCCAAAGCCAAGTGCACCCAAACTGGTAACACCAAGACTGCCACCACATACATTTGCATGACACCATCACCTACTGAATACTTGGTGAAGTTCCAGTCTTGAGTTTGGAACGATGCTTTGCCATCCGGTACTACTCTCTGACTGGTGGGTTATAGACACGGTGTTGTCATACCCTTGCACAGGCCTAGAGATTTTCCCAGAATGGGAGATTCTTTCCTCACTATGCGAGTGGGAACGTTTGCCCCACCTCTATGGAGTCAGAAATCATTGCACTCAGGAGTGCTGAGGTGATGAACATTAGAGTCTAATAGCAGGTTATTCCCTAGATATATCTAAAAATTGTTAATTCTAAAAATGTTCTGCATGCTAGAAAATGATGCACATGGTCATCAATTTAAACAAAACAATTTTTTTTTTCCACATTGCCACTTTAGTTAGTAGTCCAAACTAAAAGGTTTTATGTCTTTGGATAAATGATAATAAAGATGAGAATTAGGTATCACTACATCATTGGAAGCTTTGCAATCATTTACATTAGAATTTTATAATTGAACCATATTGCTGCTCAATCCTACTAAATTTATTATGGATTTATGTGTCTTTAATTAATGAATGGTTCTTAAGGAAAGGTGTTTTCAGAGCCCCCTATACACAATTCTGCACTGAAGAGTTCCTTCCCTATAATACGTTTTCTTCACTGAGTTAGGACTCTCAGGGTGGATGGTTACTGACCATGAATGTTTACATTTTAATTTGTTTTTCTTTATTGATGTTAGAGAGAAAGAGGGAAGGGGAGGAAGAAAGAGATAGAAACATTGAGGAGAGAGAACATTGATTAGCTGCCTCCTGCATGCCCCCCACCGGGGATCGGGCCCACAACTTGGGCATGTGCTCTGCCCGGGAATCAAACTGGCGACCTCTTGGTGCATGGGTCAATGCTCAACCCCTGAGCCACACCGACCGGGCTACTTTTTCTTTTTTAATATCTATACAAAGTATAATCATCATTGCTCAGGAAGGATGGCCATCAGCAACCAGCCTTCCTTAATAAGAGGAAATAGATATCTCAACTATTGACATGGCATTCTTGGAAAATGTCTGCATTGGTTGGGTGCCTGGCAGTGAGCAGATCTGAGTTTGAGTGGTTCTAAGTATCTTACCAGGACTTTGTAGTTGAAGATGTTGCTGGTTCTAGTCTTTGAGCCAAATGAGTTGCTAGAGGAGATCGCTGCTCAGGTCACATGATTTCCCCCCAGTTAAGGTCTGTCACCAATCATCACTCCCCCTCCCACCCGTTCCCCCCCCCCACCTGCTCACGGAAAGCTTTTACAGAGAGTAATAAAGTCTGTCATTTCACTAGAAGAATTGGATGAAACTGCTAATTCTCATGGGAAAACAAAGAGATTCATATTTATTCAAAGTAAGATATAAGTGGCCAAAGCCAATTTTTTTTTTCCTAGACACAAACATTGATAATCTGGGGAAGAAACTGAAACCACTGGCTGCCTTAATACAAGCTCAGATTGGGGGGTACTGCGGCTCCCTGGAAAAATGAAAACAATGCAGTCAGGAAGACACAGCAGCACATCATAAAATGTTACTTAAAGTTAACTGTTGGCTGCAATATTTTTGTGATAGTGTCAGGGAAGGCTAAGTGTTGAGCGAATCTAGTTAAATATCTTCAATATAGAGTATCAGATTCAGAGATGAAAATTCAAAAAATGTAATTCATAATCTAGTTCCTGACCAGGTGTGCATGCACTTAGAACTTAAATGAGGATGTAAGAAAATGCAATGTAACTTGACAGGATGGAACATGATTAATTGAGAAATGAGTCAAATAGTTGTCCTTTCGGTTCCTTCACAACAGTAGTCCTCATGGACTTCCGTGGTCTGGGAAGATTTTGTAGAGGACGAGAACCTTATAGCAGAGGGAGGGACTAGGTACAAGGGGAGATTCAGGACCACTGCGGGGGAGATTACCTCCCACTTGTAGAACGAAACTGTCGTCAGTTGCCAATTACGTGACCTACCACGTATTCCTGATCTGAGCCAATTTGTTCTCTGCTGTTTGTATGGAAACCTGCCTGGGCAATCCCGGGGTTGCCTCCCAGCCAGGCTTAACCCGGAGCCATCGCACTGTGGCCCACGCTGGCTCTGTTCTCTAAGGAGAGGATGCTAGACACAACCCTTAACACAAATTCCATCTGAAGTGAGCGAAAGCCTGGCCCCGTGCAAAACCTTTATTTAGTGTCTTCAGTAGACTAAAGGAATTGATGTGTCAAGCTAGGCATGAGATAATTCACCTCTAAATTTCTTTTGAAAACAAATTTTATTTCTCATTTTATATCACGACTCATATCTCTATATAATACCTTTTTAAATTTAGTTTGGTTACTCTTTTATTACCATGTGGTTTCCTGAGTCCTAAAATCATATGATCTCAACATTCTATCCTTAGCTCAGCCAACAGTACACCACAAAGAAAAATAAAAGCCTCAGCAAGTTTCCTCTTCCAAGAACTGGGCTAAAAACAAAAAAAAACTATGGGGAGGATCAACAAGCTGACAAGTTTAGCAGCATTGTTTATTCCTGCACAATGACCAGTGGTCTTGTCAGTTCTTGGTTCTATGGATCTAAAAGGGATAAAATAGCCAGAAGACGGTTGTGTTTCAGGAAGTGGGTCTGACCCTCCACCACTATCACTGTGTCACAAGCTACACCACACAAGCCAGGAGGTCTTTTAGATACAGAACTGAAGCATCATCCTTAAAGCCCTTCACGGGAAGGTATGGGGCTGGGAAGAGTAGGGAAAATATTCAAAACACCCACGAGGCTCTGTTTAATGGAGGGTCGCAAAGGTATAAGGAAATCTAAGTAATCATGTGAGTTAGCCTTCAGTTTACAGATAAGTCATGTGACTTGTAGGGTGACTGTTTCTAACAGAGGGATATCCAAAACTATTGGTCATTATAATTTGACATGAAAAGTGAGTTAGCCCTGGCCTGTTTGGCTCAGTGGTTAAAGCGTCAGCCTGCGGTCCAGAGAGACCCGGGTTCGGTTCCCGCAAAGGGCACGTACCTCAGTTGCAGTTTGTCCCCAGCTCTGATTGGGTCGTGCGGATGGCAACCACTCGATGTGTCCCTTTCACATCGATGTTTCTCTCTCTCCCTCCCTCCTACTCTATCTGAACAAAAAAATAGAAAAATTTCCTCCAGTGAGGATGAAAAAAAATAAAAAAATTTAAAAAAAGTGAGTTAGATAGGTAGAAACTCAAAATATTTTCATTCTATGGGGAAAGAACATCTTCTCTGGGTATTAATAGGAACATGATTTTCACTGTCAGACTATCGGGAGGTCGTACATACTTTCTCTCCTTTCCCCTGCTACGTGTCATTCCTGTTTAGTGTAAATTCCACTAGTTCAGGAACTTCACATCCTCTGTCCGCTGTTGGATCCACAAAGCCCAGTATAGCAAATGGTGTACAGCAGGAGCTTAATACATGTGTGTTGTGTACAAATATATTGAAGCTTCTCAGAGCTGTGCAAATGTCAGGATGGATCAGTTCATCAGAGAGCAGCCGGTAGGAAGTGCTTGCTGTCCCTTCCCTCCCAGTTCAGGCCTCGTATTCTCCTTCCTTCCTCATTTGCGATATGAATATTTAGATTACATGATTACTTGGTACTTTACAGGTCCAGCTTCCTGGGCCCATTTTTCAGTCATACATTTCACAAGAGTATTAAAAAACTTCTCAAATAGAATTTTTATGTCTTCAGAGGAACCATTCTAATTAACGTGGGGAAAAAATGAAGTGTAGAGGGACTATGTTTAAAAGGGAGATTTTGCTGGCAGAGTTTATAAACCGGTCCACTGAATAGGTCAGGGCTCAGAGAACTTGGCTCCTCCATGAAAGCATCTATTTGCCCACCTAGCACACACTCATGGGCACCCCTTATTTTAC